TCCGGACCTCTCCCCCCCCTCACAGCCGCGCTTCGCGCGGCGTCGGGCACTACGTGCCCTCCAAAAAAATTACAGCACCACTCCCCTAAAAATTCCTGGGGAGACCCCTGAACATTGTATGTCCTGATCATTGAATGTATCTTGCCTTTTATTTACAGTGGTAAAAAGATGCTGTGGATGAACCCAGGAGAAGGGAAGTACATCTGGTGTGACTACAACCAACCAGTATGTCCATACAGGGGTGTGGTTACTCGTGATAATGAGATCTATGCCTTGGCTGCAGATCCAAACAACATCTATCTGTGTAAATACAACCATGTTGAGAACAAGTGGGAACAGAAGTCTACCGTGTCCAAAGGATGTGAAGAACCGGGAGTTCCAAATGACTACCTTATGGAAATCGATGGACATCTTTTTTACCTTGTGGTAGATCCAGAGGTGGTATTGAAGAAATACAACCAGCACTCGAACGAGTGGCATAACTGTTCAACGCCTGAAGATTGTGAGTTTGCCTCCATTTGTTTTGCAGTGTCCTGCAATCAGCACATCTACCTCTTCACACTTGCAGAAATGCATTGGTACAACCCAAGGGAAGACCGGTGGTCCAAGAAAGCCCTGTCAGTCTACGGCCCTGAAGTGGAACTAGACTTCGGTATCATGGCAGTTGCCATGGGAACAGAGATCTTTTGGATGGATCCTGGCACCTACAGGGTGTTGGTGTACGACACACAAGCAGACAGCTGGTCTGAACTTGAACATCCAGTCCTAAGGTTTCAGGACCTGAATCAGGAGACTAATCCAGACATTGAAGATGTGGCTTTCTTTGTACTCCAAAACACGCTGCATGCAATGGTGGAGTATTCATATGAAGATTACCCGAATCCAGATGACGAGCAAAGGCTACTTCAACAGGTTTTCGTGTATGACAGGCCTAAAGGTGTTTGGAGAGAGTTATCCGAACTGCCTTTTGGGCGGCAGTGTGTGTACAATTGTACAAACGCCGTGGCTCGGATGTACCTACCATATCTGAACACCAGCCAAGCTGACACACAGGATGCAGCAAACCCAGAGGGACCAAGTGGAGAATAGTTTTGGTAGTTCGCAACCCATCTAGCCTGGTTACCAAACCTATTGTAGCTCCAGAGTCCTACAGCCTCTCCACAAATATCTGTAAGACTCTGGAGCTATAATAGGTTTGGTAACCAGGCTACAACCCATCAGAGAATGTGTTGGAACATGCTTTGATGACTTCTTTGTCTGAGTTGGTCTTATAAGTTATTAATATAACTCGTATTGTATTGTTAGTATGTCCTTAAATTCACTATTTAAACCATATGTATGGGCATTTAATATTTGTAGATTATAGCTCAGTTCACCGTGAATTATATATCATTAGAATAGAAGGCTTAGTTTGTAGCCTCATTTCACACTAACAAAATTAATGTTCACTTGTATTTACTAAAAGTTCTGTCAGATCGTCTTGACAATGTATACTTTTTATAACAATACTGATGAATAGCACTATTTTTTCAGAGATTAAATTGTTTTCATGTATACATGTGTGCCAAAGCTTTTTTTTGAGAGAACTTTTGATTCCCCCAACCCAAACTGTGACTAGAGTGATGATGTTACAGATATAACAGAATAAATTTTCTGAAGAGCCATTTTCAGTCACTGATAAAAGATTGTGGATAAACGTCTGTCTTATTCAGTCCTAGTAGGATGAAAAACATTACCTGAAACGGAATAAAAAGACACTAACAAACTTAAACTGTTGATACGGAAGTTGTTATTCAGTAATAACTGTAAAAAAAATTGTTTTTAAGTTTGAAGTTCTTGAACTATTTCTTGCATAATTCGAAGATGGAAGTTTAAGGTTCTTCAAGTTTCCTTCTATCATTTGAAGTTCTTGAACTTAATTAATTTGAAGTTTTTCTTCTGTCATTTGAAGAGTTTGAAGTTAACAGTTCCATTGTTTGAAGAGTTCTTGAAGTTCTCTAAATATTTATTCTGTCATTTGAAGAGCTTGAAGTTCTTGAAGTGTTTCTGGACCTCAGACTTGGGGTAAGGTTTGACGGCCAGACACGTCGCTACGTTCTCCGGCTGTTCTATCCACAACTTGTGATCGACGTTGTTCTGTTGAAGCTGCTCAGCTAACATGCACAGACTCTCCTCATCTTTAGCCTAGAGGGAAAACAAAAACAACAACACAGGATCAGTACTGGTTAATTGTTCTATCCACAGCTTGTGGTCCACGTTGTTCTGTTGAAGCTGCTCAGCTAACATGCACAAACTCTCCCCATCTTTGGCCTAGAAGGAAAACAAAAACAACAACACAGGATCAGTACTGGTTAATGTTCTGGGGTTGTTCTATCCACAACTTGTGGTCCACGTTGTTCTGTTGAAGCTGCTCAGCTAACATGCACAAACTCTCCTCATCTTTGGACTGGAAGGAAAAACAACAAAACAGGATCAGTACTGGTTAATTGTTCTATCCACAGCTTGTGATCGACGTTGTTCTGTTGAAGCTGCTCAGCTAACATGCACAAACTCCCCTCATCTTTGGCCTGTAAGAAAAAAAATATTGAGATATAATAGAGAGATAACATGCCGGGAGAGTTAGTCTAGCCTGTACCAGGCTTCAGAAGCGAATGAACAACAACAACAACACAGGATCAGTACTGGTTAATGTTCTGGGGTTGTTCTATCCACAGCTTGTGATCGACGTTGTTCTGTTGAAGCTGCTCAGCTAACATGCACAAACTCTCCTCATCTTTAGCCTAGAGGGAAAAACAACAAAACAGGATCAGTACTGGTTAATGTTCTCCGGCTGTTCTATCCACAACTTGTGATCCACGTTGTTCTGTTGAAGCTGCTCAGCTAACATGCACAAACTCTCCTCATCTTTAGCCTAGAAGGAAAACAAAAACAAAACAGGATCAGTACTGGTTAATTGTTCTATCCACAGCTTGTGATCGACGTTGTTCTGCTGAAGCTGCTCAGCTAACATACACAAACTCTCCTCATCTTTAGCCTAGAGGGAAAAACAACAAAACAGGATCAGTACTGGTTAATTGTTCTATCCACAACTTGTGATCCACGTTGTTCTGTTGAAGCTGCTCTGCTAACATGCACAAACTCTCCTCATCTTTAGCCTAGAGGGAAAAACAACAAAACAGGATCAGTACTGGTTAATGTTCTGGGGTTGTTCTATCCACAACTTGTGATCGACGTTGTTCTGTTGAAGCTGCTCTGCTAACATGCACAAACTCTCCTCATCTTTAGCCTAGAGGGAAAAACAACAAAACAGGATCAGTACTGGTTAATGTTCTTGGGTTGTTCTATCCACAGCTTGTGATCGACGTTGTTCTGTTGAAGCTGCTCTGCTAACATGCACAAACTCTCCTCATCTTTAGCCTAGAGGGAAAAACAACAAAACAGGATCAGTACTGGTTAGCCAATTACACAATTCCAGAGAGAATGTAGTTCTGGTAAGAAACTTTGTAAACCATCTCTTGCTGTTAGGGCTGATTGGACCTCGCGCCCAAGAGCTTGTGGCTTACACCTCTAACTCCTTTCCTGCTGCTCGAACTACATGAACCTAGGCTATCAGTTTCATAAGCTCGAGAGAACCACTCCCAGAACCACCAATAGTAGCTCAGGCTACAAGTATAAATTCCTGTCATTTATCATATCTTGTAGTATTATAGCAACTACCGGTATGCGCAAATGAGCTGTTGTTGAGGTCTTCATTTTGACTGACTGCACTGCCCCTCCCCTCTAGCACAACTTTGTGCATACTGTCTAAACCGGCCAGATATTCCCGTTTGTTGGTGTCGTCCCTGTGGACGTGTAACATTGCGGTACAGTCATGACAGGCCCAGTAGACCTGTAATACAGGCTTGACAGGTCAGGAATACTAGCAGATATTACTGCGCCCCTCCCCCTTTAAACGTACCTCTAACACAACCTTGTGCATACTGTCTAAACCGGCCAGATATTCCCGTGTGTTGCTGTCGTCCCTGTGGACGTGTAAGACGGCCGTAAAGGCATGACAGGCCCTGTAGACGTGTAGTGACAGGCCAGAAATACTAGTACATTACTGCCCCCCTCCCCCTTTTACATACCTCCAAAACCACCTTGTGCATACTGTCTAAACCGGCCAGATAGTCCCGTGTGTTGTTGTCATCCCTGTAGACGTGTAAGACGGCCGTACAGGCATGACAGGCTATGGCTGCCCCCCTCCCCCTTTACGTACCTCCAACACCACCTTGTGCATACTGTCTAAACCGGCCAGATAGTCCCGTGTGTTGGTGTCGTCTCTGTAGACGTGTAACACTGCAGTGCAGGCATGACAAGCTTGCGCTATGACCGCTCCGGTCGGCCATTTCAACGCCCGAAGAAGATCCGCTCTTACGACCACGTACTGTACGAGAGGAGAAGCCATCTTGGCATATACCAATCTAAAACAGGGGTTCAAAATGTTTCTAGAATTTCAAAATTCTATTTCATGAAATTTATTACATAATAACATTACAAGTACATTACTATATGAAATTTATAATAAAAGTTTATAGTAGAAATGACATTTTAGAAGAAATTCATTCGTTTTTTGTGCGTAGTGCAATTTTAAGTCCCCTATATTTGAGTGTGACATCCTTGAAACTTTTGAATGCTGGGAAATTTTTAAGGCGCCAAGTCTGAAAACAGAAAAATCGGGGGAGAGATTTTTCCGGAAGTTATACGGAATTTGCTTGAAAAAGAGCGACTACACTCCGCACAGGTTTTGAACAAGTTGTTGGGAAGGGATTTTGTGAACTATGAGGCCAGAAAAAGGAGGTAAAATTCTAGTCTGCTGTTCATAAACAGTTGTTTACGATTGGGGGGAGGGGGGCTAGGTTAACAACAAAAATATAATTTTAATTTTTAGTACCGAATCTCGCTCGTACCTGCTAGTAGTCTTCTCTTGTACCTACCTTGAAAATACCAAATGCTTTTATAATAGAATCGTTAATAACTGCTTTTTCCTATTCATAATATACAATATAGTAAATTATAGAATACTGTTGTTGTTGTTGTTGAATACTGTTGCAAAAAAATATATTTTTGACATGCTTAGAAATATTTTTAATTCATAATTTCATCGTCCATTCATTCTTTCCCATGAATATGCCAACAGGAGTGCAGGAGTTTCTCCAACAGTTGGATGCCAAGGCAACCAAACTCACCAGTTACTATGGCAACGACTACCCTCAAGGTCATCAGGGCGGAGGTCAAGGTCAGACGCAGGACTCAGCAGGTCAGAGGTCGAGTGGTGAGGATGCCAGAGCTAATGAAATGGAGACCATGATACAAAATTTGCAAGAGAAGAAAAGACAACTGAAACAGAGACTTTGCAGTGGACCAAAACAGGTGGGAAAGATAATAGTCTTTTAATTTATGTTTTTTTTTTGCATACAGTATCTATACAGGGCTCTAGCCAGCACCCGTTTTTTTTCGTCAATTGCAGGAACTTTGTGACATGTGGTGGAAAAATTTTCAAACCAATCCATCAACAAAGTTGACAAAAATCTTAGGTACAATTATAAAAAAAAAAAAAACATTCAAAGGACCACCAAGAACCACTTTTATCCCCATGATTTACCTCTCAAAAGGTGGGAAATTGCATTTTAATGGCTTGGAAATCCAAAATTGGGTCCCCGAACTTTCCCTGAACCTGGGCTAGCGGAAAAAAATTTTGACAAGAGCCCTGTACAGTATCTATGTTTTGAGGTGGTTGGGATTGGACTATTGTAAATTGCCTTTATTTTTCTACTAGGTATTTGGGAGCCTTGACAATAAGAAGTTGCAGAGGTTCAAAGTGAAGACTGAGGCTGACAGAGCTGCCATGAGGAGGGCGGCTGACTACATCAAACAGAGGAGAGCTGAGGAACTCAAGAAGGCTTACAGCTTGGCAGGTATGCAGCAGTTACATTTATTTTGGCAATGCCTCTGATTTTGATTTATTGAAATTGTAACAGTACAATACACATGGGACACAGGCAGCTGTTGCTGGTGTTGTGCCCCGCACATAGAAACAAATACAGGACAGACAACACTCATTTTCACTTGAGGTAAGTAGGGAAAGTCGTGTCAAGGGCGCAAGATCGGTGGCATGTCAGGACTCGAACCTGGGACATATATGGGGCATAGTTAGAATGGTTGAGAGGTTAGGCTAGCAAACAGGTGACAAAGAAGTCATGGGTTCCTGGCAACTGGTTGACCAGCTATTTGTGATAGACATACAGGATGGGTCTTTTGAGTATTTCTTATTTTTCAGGTATGAGTATGACCCGTGTGTCGGAGTCCTGTGTCTGTGTCACCTGGAGGACCTTCAGTGCCGGACAGTACAGGGAGTCCTACCAGGCTGACATCCATGTTTCACAGAGCTTGAAGGTTAGATATACTTTCACATACATGTAGCACTTCTTGTGTGTTTGTGAATGTGTGTTTTTCTGTGTGTTTGTATGTATGTAAATTGTCAATTTGTGTGCGTGTATACAGTATTTTTTGGGGGGTTACTTTTATATTCGCTGCATTTCACGGTCACGACTGTACTGTGAATTTATCATCATCGTTCCTATATAGTTCCACATACATGTCCATTTTTCTCAGACCATGAACTTTTGCTACTGTGTGAACATTTGCTACAGTAACTGCAAAGTGATTTACAGTATTCAATTGTATGCATTTAGTGTACGTGTCATTTATACAAAATCATATTTGAATCAAATTTTGATCCCTTGTCTCCACAGATTGGTCACCACACCCTCCCCACCTCCCTACCCCTGGAGGAGCTAAGCTCCACCCTCCTGAACTCTGACCTGAAGAAGTTTCTCTGGGCAGTTGGAGACCATCTGAACGCCTTGGTGTCTGGAGCATGAAATATATTAAGGCCCTTTTCCCATTAGAATAGAATGTCAATATGGATCTGACCTGTATCTGTATCTGTATAGCCGGTATAACCACCCTTCAGCGTAACACACAGCTTCTGTATCTGTATAGCCAGTATAACCACCCTTCAGCATAACACACCAGCTTCTGTATCTGTATCAATATAGCCATTATAACCGCCCTTCAGGGTAACACATCAGCTATCAAAGCCAGATCAAAGTGAATCTATTTGTCTGGATTCTGATCCTATTGGGAAAATGCCCTAAGGCATTAGAATTCAAAGCATTGTATGTTTCATGTCATAAAAAAAACAATCATGCTTGAACTCCAAAACAAAACAAATTATTTCACCATAGCTTTTATTTCTCAGTTTCTCCAAAAGAAAAAATACCTTAATACTAACGCCAGCCTTTCAAGTTGCAAGATATGCATATATTTTCTGTATAATATTCGAAAAGCAGTTTGCAATGTGAACATAACAAAGCTTAAAGTTGACCATGATGTTTTTTCCCCAATAGGCAAGAACATATTGTAGAACCTAATAATACACACATAGATATGTTATTGCCATGTTAACTACAACAGTTACCATTGTAGTCATCAACTACATAAACTTATTTTTTCTGACTTTATACAATTCATTGTCACTTTTATATAATACTTTAGCAGAAGTTACATTCTTGTAATGCTCTAAAACACCTTCCAAATAGAATGTAACCATAATTTTTTTACTCCATATACAGAAAGGAAGCTTAGTGTAGCTAGACCTGAAACCTGGGGCTAGGAAAAATATGTATTGTGTGACCTTAAATGTACTTATACATATTATCCATCATAAGACCAATTGGCAAGTAACTAAGCTTCAGTGGTTTAAGCTAAAGCAAGCCCATGTCAAATATTTTACATGTCCCAAAAGTCACTGTATTTCTTCCATATCATATATAACTAGACAAGGAAGAGAATCTTCATAGAAGTTTCATAATTCTAAATTATAACATTTTGTACAAAGAAACACAAATAAAACCTTTTCCAAGCTGCATGTAACAATGTAATATCTACAGAATAACGATTGCATCAGAAAGATATTGCACCAGTTTTCACACAAGAGTTCTACACGCATATATATTGCCTCTCTACATAATATTATATCAAATCACTATTCTTGCAAAGTAACCCTTACATATGTCCATTAACTTTTAGGTGGTTAAATTTTTTTCCTGTCGAAATTTTTGTTGTTTCTATAGATGGTGAGGAAATTTCTTACAAGACTTCTCAACATTTGTATAATGTAATAATGAAAGTTCATCTGTGTTGGTAGTGACATGTTTAAAGTTAAAACTTTTGATCCAACACAAAAAGTTCTCTCACCTAGAGCTTTCCACCAGTCACTCTGGTCTTCCTCAGTAGACTGACCCAGTGTTGACGTCACACTTCAAAGAAGCCACGTGACAAGCTTCATTGGGTCAGTCTACTGAGGAAGACCAGAGTGACTGTGTTGGATCAAAAGTTTTAACTTTACATTTTTATATGTAGTACTGTACATCAATTTTTAGCCAGTTCACGTGGTAGAAAGATTGGTGTTGCATTTGTACATGTTCGTAAGAATATTGAGTAGTTACACCATGGCAACTGTTACCATGGCAATTGTTACCATGGCAACTGTTACATCATGGCAACTGTTACCATGGCAACTGTAGAGATATATAAATAGAGAAGTAGCAGCATTTGGATAGAACCCCCTCCAACCCCAAATATGTACAATTTCTAGAGAAACATTGCAAATAGATGCTAATTTTAGACTTACATGTACCTTACAACTACAGCATAGTACATATATATTATCATAGGGAAAGTTTAGCACTTAGTTCACAAAGATGGCATCAACTTTTCTATACAAATGCTTGATAATGAAAAGCACAAAATGTATATATTATCACTACTTATAGTATTGATTATCAAGTTGTTTCAAGTTACAGAATTTATATACAACATTTTAGCATCTGGACCCTGCATAGAAATCATGTTGACAAAATTGTCGATTTTTCACTCTTTTCAGACATTTTTACTATCTTACTGTTGTAATCATAGATTGGGCTTGGTTCTGATTCATTCAAAGTGCCAATATTGAAGAGGTGGGTTATAGCAGGAACTTAAAGTTCAGACATCAAAATGTACACATGAAAGTTTTAAGGAGACTTGCCACAAAACCTTTGAAAAGATGTGCGTATAGTTAACACTAAGCCAAGAATATTGCTATAGGAAAGACACACACATACATGTACAGTAACTGTATATATCCAACTGAATGTCATTATGTATAATTATGGGTACTTTAAATTGTGAAACTTGCTCGGTGGTTTTATTTTTTTAGTGAATGAGAATTCGTGGCACCACATAAATATACTATACCTTAGCCCTCGATATTTATATTTTAGCTCAAGATCCACTCACCATGTTCTCTCATCTAAAACTTACCTTACCTGGCACCGAATACAGCAAAACCATTTTGGAAGCTTTAACCACAACCATATAAAGCTCTCTCCAACTAAATATCATTGTCATAAATTCTCTATATGACTGTTCATAACCCCTTACAATCTCATTGCACATCTTAGAGTGCAAGAAAGGATGCATAATATCTTCTAGATGTACAAAGTAGGAATTCCTTCTTCCCACCATAATAACTTCAAATTTCTACACTCATTCTTTTTCTTTAATCCCCCACATTTTCAAGATATACAATCATTTATGTAGTATTGTAGAAACTCCCTTTCCCAACCATAATTTTAATTTAACTTTTTAAACTTCACAGTTTATTTTTTGCTTTAGACACCCTTCCCAACCCCTGAGCACAATGAAGCATATATAAGTTGAGAAATTATGGGTTGTCCCCAAGTGTATCATAGCTTGGGAAGCGTAGAAGTTATAATGCCATTTCTTGTCGTTCCGTTCGGCTTTTTCTTGTTTTCGAAAAGTGTGGTCTCTTCATCGCTGAGTAGGTCATCTGACTCGGACATAACCAAGCTGTTACCTTGCTTTTGGCCTGAAAGAAAGAAAAAGATTCAATGCTATTGGTTAAAAAAACAGACTACATATCATTTAGGTTATATGATAGAAGGAAAAATAGTATTATATCTTAAGACTATTACCAGTACATCAGTTAAGTCACCTTCAGGCTTGACTACCCTTTCAATCAACTGTCCAAAAAATCATCTCCCACCCTCTCTGCAACCACTGGTACTTAGACATACATGTAAAAAAAAAAATCAAATTTACCCGAAAGTAACAGATGCAATTCTCAGGAAATGTAAAAAGAAGTCAGCATATTGTGAAACATGTTAAAATGAGCTACATTGACTGACTGGTATACAGTCTTTTAACTGCTATCAGTTTTGGGGTCTACTATGAAGAAAACACAGTCATATGTGACACAGTTGTGTTTGTTCAACCCTGTCCCTCCTACCTTACCTGTAGACTTGTCACCTGTCTGTGAGACAGGCACACGGTGGTCCTTTCCGTCTACGCAGAATGAGGTTAGATAATAAAGGGAACCGTTACCAAACAAAGGGTCAATCCTATAGCTAAAGCCTTTCATGACATGTACATTGTATGTGAGTGAAGTGACTGTGTTTACATGTATGTGACAGTCACTCACTCACTCACTATCCTGGTTTCGATTATACTGCTGCCGGTTTCCCTGTCCCAGGGGTGGGCAGCAGTTGTTAACTAACTGTAATCTCCAAGCATATTTTTAGGTGGCGCAAAAGACAGTATCAAATTGGCCAGGCAGAATCCATTGGCCACCTGGCTAATGGACACTCCTCTGGTCAATGGATACTGCCTTGCCACCGTATGATCTGCTTGGAGATTAAACTAATGCACTACTGAATAGTGTACAGGCTTGTTTTTTCTCCAAGCGACAACCTTTTTCAGAAGTCATTTACAAAATTCTTAACAATCATGCCAAAATCACACAAAATCTTTTGCTCTAAAGTTTCCATCTCTACTGTAACAGTTATAGCCTTTGCTAACTCTTACCTCTACTGTACATTTCTATTTTTTCTCCCTTGTCGTCAATTTCATCCAAAAGTGTGTAACGGTGTCTCTTGCTTCTTCTGAATCTCCTTCGACTGCAGAAATGAAAAAAGGCAAAAAATTGGAAGGTAAGTAATGCTACAGATACGGTGTTCATGAATTCTGACAAATGATAGCAGTTCAGCACCAAGGACAGATGTGTACTGTTCTGTTCTTTTGTAAACTATTGTTTATAGCTATGTACAACTATATCTATTTCTCAGCAATGGCTGAAATTATGTCCTAAGTATATTTAGTTACTGATAAAACATTTTCAATGTACAACATAAGTTGTATACTGTAAAATACTTGCAGTTGATTTCATGGTAAGCTTTCTACTCAAACATGTCCTGTCTTCCTAACTGTCTAATATGTGAAAAGTGAAAATGAGTATTGCCTGTCCTGTATTTATTTCTAAGTGTGGGAAACAACACCTGCAACAGCTGCCTGTGTCCCGCGCGTATTGTATTGTTACAATATCAATAAATCAAATCAAACCAGTATCATGAGAACTTACTTCCTGACCAGACAGACCACCCCCCATGTGATCAGGCCCACTCCTACAACGATGCCAAATGCGATGACGATGACGTAAAGTATGCTCCAATCTGTAGGGAAGAGAGAGGTGGAAATGTTGTTATATACTGACTGGCGGAATTAAAACATTAACATGCCTCTAAGTCTAATTCACAAAAAGGCATCCTAGCCTGTCACAGTTTTAAGATTGAATCCTTTACTTACGAAAGTAGAATATACTGGAGTTACACAAGAAAACAAGTAGCATGCACTATTTTTGTCAGGTAGCAACAGAATCTGTAGTTATTTCTCCAAAGACTATGAAATGTGGTGAAGACAAATTTTAGACAGTCCACATGAAAGGAAACCTTTCTTTTAACTTTTATTGATCTATAATAGGGTTAATTGTCACATGATAGCAATTCAGCACCAAGGAGAGGTCTGCACTGGCACTCTGGTTATTTGTTACACCAGAGCTTGGCCTTGCCGGTGTTAACCCACTGGATAGGGCTGCCTGGAGGTGCAGTGTGAAGACCAGTACTACTAGCTGACTGCTGCCGACCCCTGTGGCAGGGACAACAGCAGCAGTATAATCTAATCCTGTATAGTGGATACTAGCTGAAACGTTTGACTGTTTCCAAAATCATACCCAGTTGCTTGAGTAACTGTTTTTTGGCATATCTTACTACCTGGATGTCTAACCTTCATTGACAAATCCTGGATAGTGTGAAATACACAGGGACTTACCACAGTTGCTGACTTTGTCTGCGAAGTAAGCCTTGAAGGGGTTCTGTACCCAGAAACTGTCACATTGGCACAGTTTGGTGAAGGAGTTACACACACCGTGGCCTGAACAGTTGTTCTGACAAACTGAAGAGGAAAGAAATCGCACATTTAAAAAAATCATACTGATGATGAAAATATTTCGAGGTGGAAGGGGGCCTATTTCTGATGAAAATACTGATAATTTTACAATAACTACAATGTAAGACGAAAAAGTCTGGTATGCTTAAGGTAGAAATACAATTCTGTGAGTATACAATGAATTTCAAACTGATTGCCAAGAAGTCACTCTAGCTATAATTGCAGAAGATACTCCATATCATCTTCAATTCAATCATAATCATAAATCTAATTCATGGTACATGTCTATCTAGATTTAATGTGATGTTATTTACAAAACAATTTTTAAGGACCGAGACTCAAAGCAAATCAAAGAGTCACTCAAGTTACCAACTTTCAGTTAATTGTTACAAAAATAAACAATTTATACCTACCGACTGTGTCTACTTGTACCACCTTGAAGTCCAGCACCTCTGACCCTGCCTTGAGTTTCCGTTTGAGTTTAGCCAGAACTGATCCGCCATCTTGTACCACTCCAGTCTGCGTGTTTATTACTACAAACACTACGATCATGCTGGGAAGTTAAAGAAAGTTGTTATAATTATGTTTACATTTGCAGAAGGAAAACAAATAACGATACAAAACCGGTATGTTACGACTGAAGACGGTTTACTGACTGTGAAACAAAACAAAAACTGTACTTACGCCAAAAAAGTTACTAGAGCAGAATCATATCCAGTTGCTTGAGTACCTGTTTTTTTTTCCATGTACATGTACAATGTATCTCATTAACTTTCACCAACGTGAATTGACAAAACCTGTACTTACTTGCCAGTGGACATGTCCTCTTTAATTTCCTGTACTCGGATGTCAGAATCCATCACATCAATAAGTACAGCCAGCTGACGAACCAACATGGCCTGCCAAACAGACATCAGAAATTATAATTTTCATGATGGAAGAAATAGAAAAATACATGTTATATGCTGATCCAGTGAGAGCTCAACTTTTCCCATACATGTACATAGAAGATTGACTTTCATATGATAATAAGTATAATATTATACAGAACTATACAATCTTAAAATAGTTCCTTAACTCTTTTCCAACAAATGAACTACTCTACATGTAAGTCCTTAGGATTGCAACTCATATAGCAGTATGCAATGCATCTGAGAAACATGAGAGAAATGTACAATGTATGCCACTTAGGGCCAGGATAGTATATCTGTATCGTTTCTACCTTGTTCCCCTCAGTAAAAGATGTGATGTCTGCAGCCAGAGCCAGTTCTACTAAGTCATCTCTGTGCAGATCTGTAAAAGAGACAAGACAGAAAACAAACTGTTACAGTAGTATGATATACAATTGTAGAGAACACTTTGACAAGTCATTCTATACTTTAAGTGGTGTCTACTTCCACAGTTAAGTCCTGACACTAACACAGGGAAGGCACACCTTGTCTTTCCCTGCCAATATATCCAATTGTAAGAATCAAAGAAAGAAACAATAAACTACTGTAACATGTTGTTGTCTTCTTCTTCTTTCAGACTGCTTAGCCCAATATAATATTGGATTATGAGCAGCTGCACATGTGTTAGTTACAAAACAGGTGACAAATACAGGTACAAATAAAACAAAGGGAAAATTGAAGAAAATGGACTAAGGAACATACATATTGATTCTGTGGCTGTAAAGGACAAGACAAGTGAATGAAAAAAAAGTTTTCTCACCTTTCTTGACAATGACCGTAGCAGAGTCGGTGTCGAACAGTCCCTTTGCATCAGTCACCTTCAGATGGAACACGTAACGTCCCTCCACCAGGTTAGTCAGCTGTAGAACTGCCTTGTGGTCAGAGCTGTTCAGGACAACCTGGGGACAAGTTAAGTCATGTTTAGAGTTAAAACTTGAGATCCAACACAAAAAGTTCTCTCACCTAGAGCTTTCGACCAGTCACTCTGGTCTTCCTCAGTAGACTGACCCAGTGAGGCTTGTCACGTGGCTTCTTTGAAGTGTGACGTCAACACTGCTTCACACCAGGCAAGCAGCGCTGCGGCAGCTGCCTACACTGAATGACGTGTTACACCTAACTCTTGAACATCTAACTCTAAGCATTGTTTAAGGCTAATTATCTAATGATGATGCCCCTACTGTACTTGGTGACAGCGAGTTCTACTCTGCAATAGTTCTAGGAAAGAATGAATTCTTGAACACCTTAATCCTTGGTTGATAACTCTGGTACTTGAAGGCATGACTATTTCTTTTTCTTTTCTGAGCTGGTATTAGGTTAGTAGTTGTTTCTTTTGATTGACACCTACCCCAGCGGCAGGGCTCTGTGGGTCTCGTGTCCAGAGAAAGTCGACGATGCCGTGGTCGTCTGTCGAACGAGAACCGTCCACAACCAGCAGGGTCTGGGGGAGCTGGTACGTCACGTCTCCCCCTGCGTCTGCACGAGGCTTGTGGTTTATATCTGTTAGAAAACACACAAGTAGCAAAGCAATGAGTTTTATTATGTTTTCTGAAGGAAAACATATTGTTTTTGCTACGTTTCCTCTTCTTCTTCCGTTCCAAACACTACTGACCTCTGACCTGGCCAATGACCTGATCTGTTGACATCTCTCACCATCATACTGGTGTTGGGTTACATCATGTTGCAATTTTATAGCAGGAGGGATTTAGACTCCTGTCTGACCATATACATGAATGTATTTGAGTAAGAATTAACAGAACAGACCAAATGCAAAGGTAAACATTATGCATTTGCTTTGCAAATGTTACCTTTCTAGTTTCATTCTTAATTTGGTACCTAGCATTGTAACAGTATCATGACTTTTCTCACCTTCCTTCACCTGCACAGTGACAGAGTCCCTGGAGCACAGGTTCTTCTCATCACACACCTTCAGGGTGAACTCATACGTGCCTGTCACTAACCCTGTCACTGTGGCAACGGCCTGGTCTGTGTTCTGTAGGTCAACTGAGGACGGCCCACTGCGGAGGGAGGGGGGAACAGGATGACTTTATTTTTAGTTACAAAAAATGTATGGCTGAACCTCATGTCCACACCTCTCCTTCTGTCTCTTTCTCTTTCTCCCTCTCTCTCTCTCACTCTGTCTCTCTCCCTCTGTCTCATTCCCTCTGGCTCTCCCTCTTTCTCCCTCTCTCTCTCTCCCTCTGTCTCTCTCTCCCTCCCCCCTCTCTCTCTCTATGACTCTGTCTCTCTCTCTCTCCCTCTCTGTCTCATTCCCTCTGGCTTTCCCCCTCACTCCCTCTGTCTCTCTCTCTCTCCCACCCTCCCCCCTCTCTCTCTCTTTGAGTAAGACTTCTGTAGTAATTTGTCAGGCTAGACAGGGGCTTAAGCTTGTATGAACACATAATTACTAAGTCCTAATAATAGTATATATTTTCAGGATTTAATTTGCCCTACCTGGTCTTAGTCCACTCATAGGAGACTATCCCCTGATCGTCTGTGCTGTCCCCCCCGTCCAGGGTAGTGGTATCATCCGGTGATGTCAGCTCCTTGTCAGGCCCTGCATCTGCTACTGGGGGCTGGTTGTTTTCTGGGGGGGAAATAAAGTTACACTTTCTATCTTTATCTGTATAGCTGGTATAACCACCCTTCTGTGTAACACACCAGCTTTTGTATCTGTCTCTGTATAGCCAGCATAACACACCAGATTCGCAGGCACATGGCACAGTGGTAGCTGGCTATATTATACCAAATGACTTGTTACAGCCAGCTTTGCACATCTAACTGCAGACTACCAGAGATGTTGAAAGCTATCTAGTGATGATGTCCCTACTGTAATTTGTGGCAGTGAGTTTCACTCTAAGTAAGAAAGTTCTAAGTTTTTGAACACCTCATTTTTCCTGGAACTATCGTCACACAACACACAAAGCCACAGCTCGGCTATACATCTTTATCTGAAAGCATCAACCATCATTCAACAGAGATTTCTAAGCTCCAGACTTGTTTCTACATGTAAAATGATATTATATAATTGTAAATTATTAAAGTATTATAATGTAAAAACATATTTAACAAACAGAAATAGCCTACCAGGCTGCACAACGACAGTGACTGAAGCATCATCCTGCTGATCTGAGCCGTCAGTAACAGTGAGAGTGAAGGTGTAGTCTCCTACCTCCATGTTAGATACATGAAGGATAGATGATCTGGTACCCTGTATGAGGAATGTAAGACACATGTGAGTGAGAGTGAAGGTGTAGTCTCCTACCTCCATGTTAGATACATGGAGGATAGATGATCTCGTACCCTGATAAAAAAGATCACACAATATAAGATACCAAAATACAACATTTGCCAATGTCTCAAACATGGGACCTTTGGCTTTATAAACTATCTGAAAGGACATCTCTAGCCAAAGCTACATTGTAGGTACTCATTTTCACCTGAGTTGGGTGCAGAAATAGATGAAAAGAGCCTTTCTGAAGGACAGTTGGAGCCTGCCTGCCTGGGATTGGCACGCAGATCCTTCAGCTTCTAGTATTAAGTCTACATTTACCCTAACCACCTTGACTACATCTAACATACAATGTACAACAAATGCACGATGTGTCCCGAGAATGTCCTCTTTTGTGATCATACCACAATCAAGGGCTCAAAATACATGCACCACCTGCACTTGCAGATATGCAGAAAAAAGGATTTCTGCAACCGTACATAGAATGTGTGCATGCCCTTACCTGCAAATGTCTACTGCAAATAAAAAGTGATTTAAAGTATTACTAATTTAAATCAGTGATTTAAAGTATTACTAATTTAGTAATAATAATATGACTGTCTCAAGTACATGTATGCCCTCTGTTGTGATTATACCACAATTAAAATATGTTCAATGTGCCCCTGCTCTTACCTGCATGTCTGCCACTGCATCCACCTCCTTGACCCACTCATAGCTGACAATGCCCTTGTCATCTGTACTCTTGGAGCCGTTCAGGATCACTGAGTTCTGGGGCATCTACAGATTCAATATCAGAAATATTTATTAGAATTCATCATACATGTAGGGAATCATAGATTGTAGACAAGAAAAGTCACATACATGTATGACATCAATGAAAAATCTACTGTTTTGGTTCTCATAACCAGTAAGTTATAGATACAGGGAATCTTAGAGGCAAGGAAAGTCACATATGACATCAATGAATCCACTGAGTTCTGGGGCATCTACAGATTCAAGTCATACATATAGAAAAGTCACATACAAAATGTACATGTGTTACATCAACCAAAAATCTAAAATCTATATCCTTCAAGGAAAAGTTCATTTCACAGCTTTGCCAACAACAGTTTTGTCCCACTTTGGGCCAACATGCTGTAGTAGGCTGGTAGAAGTAAAATCATTATTAAGTGAGCACCTCTACATAAAGAACACCTGTCCTAGCTGACTAATATGAACACTTTTTGGGTGGTCCCTTAGAAGTTAGATAATCTTTCCAATTCACACATTAAAATTCCTGTCTATTATTATAAAGTATAGTGACTATCTGTCCACACAGACCAAACCTTATGGTCTGTGTGGTCTTTTTGCACAATTTTGACTGAATAAGACATGTTCCTACATTGTACAAATGTACATGTATAGTGTACTAACCTGAATGACATTCCCATTGAAAATTAACTATCTGTCCACAAAGATCAGATTTTATGGGTCCCGTAAGTGGTCTTCTTAGGCAGTTTTGACTGTACACATGTACATGTATTGTAAGAGCAAACCTGAGCTGGAATAGAACAAATACCATGCAGTCTTCTCACTTACTCACTATCTGGAACTACTGTGAAAATTATTTTTTTACATCATTGATGTATATGCAGCTTAAATGGGTAAGATACATGCCATACACATAGTATACTAACCTGAATGACCAGGTTAGGCCCTGCTATAGTATACTAACCTGAATGACCAGGTTAGGTCCTGCTATAATACATGTATACTAACCTGAATGACCAGGTTAGGTCCAGCATTAGCCACAGGCGGGTAGTCTGTCTCCTTATGTACTGTGACGTTGGCTGTGGTGGAGTCTGTTTCTCCGTCTGAGTCTGTCACAGTCAGTCTGGTGAAGTGTAAGAGAAGAAGAACCCAAATCAGCAAAGAATAAGGGTTTAGAAACACAAATTTTTCCTTAGAATTGTATACTAAGTCTTGTAAAGCCATGCTAACAGGGAACCAGTTAGAAAAATGCTGTAGTTATAAAAGAACAGCCTTCCTTTCTGTGAATGTCTGGAATTTGTGTCTTTTTGGATGACATTGTAACAGCTGGCATATGGGCTATTCAGAAAATTCCACTGAAAAACTATATACTAAGCTAGCAAATTTTCATGCATTTATTTTGTGTGCACAATTTTAGGACATTGGGTTACACATTTTAAGAAAGAAAACTAGTTTGTCTCACATAAGTGAGCCAAATTTGTGAAAAGTATACAAATTGTTCTTTTGAATAATGAAGAGAGGTAGACTGTACGTGGCACAGGATCCTTATTGATTTTTGTATGCCCTCAGGCAGGAAACCTGTTGCATACAATATGCTTCATTACAAAGTAATTTTGTAGCCCAAACCAAGGTAGCATGTCAAATTTGACCTTAAATGATTATATTTTGACAAATTCTTTACAAGAATAACAAAAACATTTCTTATCCAGGTCCTTTCCATTTTTAGGGGCCTCTTGAGTATGGCAATCACTTGAGATCTTTATTTGCAATCAGATACATATTCATGCACAGATACAGATTCATGTACAGATATGCAGATACAGATTTTCCGAGTAGGATGACCATGTCAGTCCCTACACCTGAGTGAGGGTCACAGTTGACACAGTGGATGCGTGGATGGCCCCTTGAGTAGACATACTCATACACCCTTAAAACGGACTATTAATAATAAGACTTACTTGAAGACATAAGAGCCAGGGATAAGGTGGTTCAGTCTGAGGATGCTCTCCTCTCCTGAAGCCTTCTCCTCTCTCAGCGGTCCTTTCACCTCCTCCCAGTGGTAACTAACGATCGCATCGTCATCCGTACTCGCTGGGAACACAACAAAAAAGTAGTAAACAGTAAACGAAACAAAGTCTTGTAGGTAACAAAATTTAACATTTACCTTCACATGGTCTAGCCTAACAAACTACATCAGCGCCCATCACCCCTCATTGAACCGCGACGGGGGTCAACATCGTCTACCAGATACCTTTGACCCAGTGTTGACATCACACTTCAGAGAAGCCACGTAAAAAGCCTCACTGGGTCAGTCTACTGACTCCTAGGAAGACCAGAGTGACTGGTCGAAAGCTCTAGGTAAGAGAACTTTTTGTGTTGGATCTTTAATTTTAAACATGTAACTTCCAACACAGATGAACTTTCATGAAACTACTGCTCTGTTTATTCTTACTCAAACACATTCATAATTATACATGTACTTGTATACGGGTGACCAGTCCCTCCAACTTTGTTCTGCCACTTGCTACATAATGTAACCCAACACCACAGGGTGTCGGCTACAGCAACAGTTACCATGGTGACAGACGTCTGGTCTAGGTCATTGACCTTTTTTTGGTGTGGATAGAACTAATTCAAAGTTAATCAGCACTCCATTCAGAAGCTCTAAGAAGGGTGTGTGACAGACATAGAAACATACATGTGGAAGAAAACATTACCAGTTGTGTAAAAAGAAAACCTCAATATCCTATCTAACACCAACCTGATGAAATTATTTTTGAACTTTTATTTCTGTTAAAAGATTAATGAAATTTTCTTACAAGATCCGTCGAGGATAGCAGCAGTGTTAGGCAGGGTGACCTCCTGTTGTTTGGGCTGTACTATTGCGACAGGAGGGGTGTTCACACGAGTAGGAGGTTGGACTGTCACATTGACAAACCCCTCCCCGTATTTGTCATCTCCCGTGACTGTTACCATGAACATGTAGTGTCCTGCAGTCAACTGTCAGGAAAAACAAACTCCTTGTAACCAGATGAATAATAAGTGACACAATCATTGTGCAATGTTAACTTATCAAAAAGTTAATTTCCTTTGAGAGGTTGGTCATTTGAAAAGCATAGTGTAGTTTCTAGTATAATGTAGAAGACAAAATGCAAGAAAAAGTGATTGTAGACAAGTATGCATTGTATATGATAGTGTTATATACAAGAATAAACATTGTGTGTGTATCCTTTGTTAACATGTATTTTCTTTGAGAGATAGATCATGGGGAGGGAGCCTGTAAAGGTGGTCTCCACCTGTTTCTCCCTTCCCTTCCACTTGTGGCAAAGCTTGAATAAATGAATAAATTATAGACTTAAAGGACAAAATTTTAGCTCTCAATCTCATTCTACATTTATACACATCTGAATCAGCGAAAGCAGCAACAGTAACAGTTGTAAACTTTTTCGAAACATAGATACTGAGCAAGTGCCCCACCTAGCAGTAACTTGAGGAACTGCACTGTTAGTACACTTACCTGTGAGAGATGTACAGACTGTGTGTGTCGTCCCTCCATCTCTCCCTGGTACTCCTCAGGACCAGATAACAGGCTCCACTCATACACATACTGCACACCTAAACAACAATACAACATAAAAATCTTAAGTCAGTTAGTTATTATAAACTTAAGACAAAAAGGCTTTCATTCCTTGTCAAGCCATAAGTCAAGTACTTCATAAGTCAAGAAAGTCAACAAGTAAAGGAAATGGCTAGAACCCTGTCCAACCATATTTTTCAGCCATATTACTGAATAGAATGCCTTCTCTATGGCTACTGCCAAAAAACACAAAAAACAGTGCCAAAAGGGGTGAGTGAACTCAAGTGACCCACATGACCCTGTCTGACACAAAACTGGGTCAAACCACTTAATTTTCTTTATATATAATTTCTTCTTCTTTGTAACTTCAAAAAGCTCCTACACAGGGAAACCAAAGCTCTCAATGATAAAAGCTTTAAATATCATGATTCTGGCTCCTGTATTTTTATCCGTCACAAGTTTCCATGTGTGACTGTGTTACATTGTACCTGTTTAAAAAAATGTAGGTCAAAACACTTGAATATCTAAAGTTCTTACTTCCCACATGTGGGTTTCCCAGACACTCTACTAGGAGTTGGCAACACTTGCAAATTGCTACTATCAAATCTATGATACATTTTTTACAGCTTTTAACTGTTTGCAAGAATCTAATGATTTTTGAAGAGCCTTCTAGGTTCTAAGGCACTGAACAAAATATCATACAAAATGTGATATGTTAAGCTGAAATCCAGGATTGTAATTAAAAACATTATTAATACATAATAGTTGTATAAGATATTGCAAGTGCTTGATGACCCCTAGCAGATTCATCGCAAACTGCAGTTCGCAAATAATGTTAAATTCAATCCTTTTACAAGTGGTTGTAAAAGTGTTTAGTGAGAAATTCTGCAGCCTGGGTGAAAATTTCCTCCAAGGACTGTCTAGTTTAGGCTGCTGCAAATGACCCAAGAATTAGATCAACAAAACATACATGCCTGTAGCTTAGGTTTTAAGTTGACTATGTATGTTTTGGCATGGATTGTGTAAGAAATATTCAGACTCAGCACTGCATTGATGGCTTTTGCAGACTTAAGGAAACGTTCAGTCAAAATTGTCCTGATAAGAATTTGTGGGAAAAGCTGTGTCAATCTTTATTTTGTGTCAAATTTTATTTGAATCCACACATTATGTAGTCTTTCAATATGCCTCGGTACATTAAACATTGTTGACAACAAAATGTGCCTTTTGGTCCGATTTGTACCATACTAGTATCCTGTTTGTGACGCCAAAGATTTATTTTGATTACATCTTTTTGACATCAGATCCTGTTTATATGGAACAGAACAGGATCTGAACAACATGTTGACGAGTTTTGAAGTGAGACCCAAACTTTTGAGAAACATTTTTTACCATTCTAACCTACTCTCCAAGCAGAGGTTTGGGTTTTGGGTTATTTTTGCCGTGTTGTTAGGCTTTTTTTATCAGGGTTTCTTTTTTGCACTGGATTTTTTTATCCCAATGAAAAAAATAATAAAAAAATTCCAGTACAAAAAGAAACCCTGATAAAAAGCCTAAAAACAAACCAAAATAACCCAAAACCCAAACTTCTGCTAGGAGAGTAGTTTTGACCCCCTTGAGGTCTTTGCACAGAACAGATTTAGACCTAATTTACTTTTCACATGTAAACAACAACGCACCGGATTTAAACGTACATGTAACACTAAACTGAAATAAACAAACAAACATTTTCACCTAAAGCGTGTAGCCCTTGAAACATACAAGAACACATATGACCACAAAATGAATTTAAATAAACACTGATCATTAGATAGCTTTAAACAATGTTTAGAGTTAGATGCTCAAAGGTTAGGTGTAACAAGTTGTTCGGTGTAATGTAGCCAGCTGCCGCCGCGCCGCCTGCCTGCGAAGCTGGTGTGTTACGCTGAAGGGCGGTTATACAGCTATACAGATACAAATACCGACAGTAACTGACTTTAAAAAATTCTATTTAGACATACATTGTATGTGACGTATACATAATGTCATAATTTCAAATATGCGCTTTTAAATAATTCAGTAATATTAGTTCCGTATGTATAATATCAGGGGATTTATGCTATTTGAAATGACAATGATAAATTTCATACAGTCAGTACATGTACATATAAAAAATGTTGGAATTCAGGAGCCATAATTTTAGAATTTAGTTACCATCTGGAATTTTAAGGTTCTAATGTGGCTAATATATATAATTCATTTATTTGAGAATCTTCCAGTTTTGCACTGGGGTAAGTTTGGAATAGTCCACTTTTGCGTGGGAGGGAGATGGACTGAAATATGCTGTATTTGCTCCCAAGCAAATGTAGGCCTTTCTAGTTTTAGAATTTAGTTCCCGTCTGGAATTTTAAGGTTCTAATATGGCTTCTAATGTGGTTTTTTTTAATCATAATGTTTTTTAATGTCTGATAAAAAAAAACAGACATTTATAAGGCACAGAAACATGTTACACTGGACAACTAGGGTTCCTTTCATGCAAACATTATCTACATTGTATCAAGACAAGTGTGGCAATTACAGAATACAACATTTGTGACATACCATGTCAACCGGCAAAAGGCAGCCCTTTTCAATTTTGTACCCAGCGATGCATAGCTGATTTTCCCATTGTTAAAGCTTTAAGAGTTACTCCTTACTGGTTAAATAGTGCTCTATTCAGACAAGTGTCCCTCCATGTACTTGTGGCTACTCATATTACAATTCAAAAACATCTGACTTATGAATAATTAATAGCTAAAAGGGCCTTGTCACATTTTTTACACTGTATGAAATAGTGTTTCTTTACGTAGTGATGCTTCATGTATATTATGTGTTTTACTATAATAATTGAAACCTAGCAGCTGTGAAAAATGTAACTTTACACTACATTGTATTTGTTTCATTGGTATAAAATTGTATGGAACCAGACTGTATAAAGTAGTATTTCTTCAGCAGGTAGTGGTCTTATAATAGTTACTAAATACTACAACCTTGCAGCTGTAAAATTTTAAAATAAAACCTTTAACTATTTGTTTCATTAGTAATAGTGTCAAAATAGTAGAACCAGATTGGTATTTAACTGGTACAGAAGATTATCTTAACATGTACATGTAGTAGGTTATAAAAATAAACATAAAATGTTTAACATTAAAAGTAAATATTATAAATAATAGTAGCCATGTAGCATGTAGCCAAGTATCAGGTATCCAAATCCGATTTAAAATCATAAAGAAAATTATAATCTCTTCTCAGGTGATATTTTTCTCTTTTCTCACTATAATTTTTCTTACTAATGGAAATAAAATTAAAAGCTGTTTGCATGAGTGACTCAGAGTGAGGCAGATAAAATGCAGACTCAAGGCTTGATAATGATTGAATGTCCCTTGGGAAAACAACAGGTCCAAGAACTCCCTGTCTTTTGGTATAATTTATGCAGGTCAACAAAAAGGCATTTCAAACATAAATTTTGCCAGAAAGTCTACACTGTCTTGACCCACTTAAGTTTTTTATATCATACTCATCACGTAATAACTTGAAGAGCTACATCCTCAATTGAATACAAGTAGTCAAAACCGCCCACTTAAAGATGGTTGAGTGTTTACTATTATGAAAAATACTTCAAGAAACAATCTGCAAAAATTATAGAAAATTTGTCTTCCATGTGCTATTAGGGAGCCTATTTATAGTTAAGGGCCTTAATCTGTTCAAAACTCTTAATGACAAAATCATATTTATATTTTGAAACAATAAAATGAAATTAATCATTAAAATACAGACATGTATACCTGTACATGACTATTTTGTACACAATATCCACATCAATATACACAATAAGTCATGATGCTTGTAAAATTTAAGCTTTGTTCCAACAGAAATTAATTTTCAGTCAAGCATTTCTGTTGTGTTGGAACAAAACTTGAATTTCATACATTGTAACTACTAGTGGGGATTCTACCAAGTTGAACACCAAGTTGAACACAGATGAGCTTTCATACAAATATGCATATACTAAAATATATTATGAAGTATTAAATGCAAAGATTAGTAATAGTATATCCACCAACCTTCTGGTCGAGTGTTTCTGTTGTGTTGTAACAAAGCTTAAATTTCATTACTACGGATTCTACCAAGTTGAACACAGATGTGCCTTCATCTGAATATACATACATTAATAAAATATTACCATGAAGTATCTGTGCAAAGATAAATAGTATTTATCCTACCCACCTTCTGGAGGTTCAGGCACAGTGAAGCCGTGTAGAGTGACACTGTTCTGTGGCAGTTGTATCACCTTGTTTTCTCCAGCAGATACCACAAGTTGGCTCACTGAGAACGAGAAACAACAAACTACAAGTAAAACTCCAACCCAGACTCTAATATGTGCATAAAACATTGGTCACTTGTAGTTAAAGAAGAGGGCTTATACTGTGTGGATGTGGTTTACTGTGTTGTGGGAATAGAAATGCAAATGAGAGGGTCATGTTGGGGGTTTACAGGACACTGGATTGTGTACATCCTGGTACGTAGTAGAGTTGTATCTCTGAATTGTGTACAGTATTTAGGCTGAATAAAAAGTATTTACCGGTTTTAGTCTGTGAAAAGTGGAATTTATATAATTTTTTCATATAGACTTTGTACCAATGAATTTGAAAACATCAATAGGGTACAAAAACTCATTTAATATGTAGATTCAAGAATTTTTCTGATAATTATTGTGGACAGTTGCATTGTTTCATAATTTATGCCTTGTTTTTTGCTAATTTTGCATTCAAAATTATTGTATACTGAATAATATATCAATTATCCGATAGTCATCACATATTATAATTTACCGTAATTATTTTTTAATTGACCCCAGGGAAAATTGCAACATCGTTTAATCACCCCTACGATCAAATAAACCCACCCGATTGTAATATATTTGCTCCTTTTACAGTAGAGTGGATTAAACCATTCTCCCATGGGAACAGGGGTGATCATATCTCACCATTATTATTCCAATACTCTGCTTCAATCCTGTCCCAGCAGTTCCCTAGAAACACCCCCACAATCTTGCTTAGACTAACCCCAAGGCATACATTGTAATTTTCCCCAAACATCATACAAAAAAAGAAGAAGAAAATATGTGGCACTGTTTTTTTTCCTGTGGGTAAATAATTGATTTAAGTTACGGAGATTTCATTTTGCTGTATAACAAGGGGAAAGAAAGCAGGCATTCACACAATCACAGTGTGCAATGTACTTTTCAGTTGGAGCTTGAAACAACCATACATACATAATTTCACTGTGCCATACCAGTTCACAGTAGATTGTGACAGAAATTTTTTACACCAATCCGTCAACCTTGACAGACAAAATTAACAAAAATCTTGTGTAAAAAATATATTAAAACATACAAAGGACCAACGACAACCACTCTCAACACCATGATTTGCCTCTCAAAATGTGGGAAACTGCGTATTTGAAGGCTTAAGTTACAAATCCTAAATTTCCCACTAGATTACGGTCTGATTATGAATATGAACCTGGGCTGACGGAAAAAAAATTTTGGAAGGCTAGAGCCCTGTTCCAGACTGAGTGACAGAATAGCTGTAGGGAAATTCCAGGTTGCAGGTTGAAATCCTCCTGCCATGCCTGACAGTGACCCTAACTAAGGATGGATGGTGTACCATCTGTCTGTCAGCTAGTCTGGTATAAACCTTCCACTACTATGAAATATTTATACTACTATTTACTAGGGCTGGGCCATTTTTACTTCTGGATATGGAAGTTTTTGTGTGTGTGGCTGAGGCTACACCAATTTAATTTGTTGGTTCTCAGTTTCGCCCATTCACTTTTTTTCTGATTTGCAAAAAAAACATTTCAGGCTCTGAATCAACTCTTCAGAGTTGTTACAGTCTTTTCATCTATCAATCAAAGTGGTTTGATTAAAAGGAATAAATCTGAACTTTCGTATGCTGAATGTTACAGCCTTTTTGTGAAAAACAACTTCAGTGTAATGTTTATAGTGAAAGTTGACAAAACTTCTGAGAGATCCTGTTCAGTATATACTAGTAGGTGCTGTCAAACTGTAAACTATAGATGATACGTGGCACATCAAATTGTCATAACAATATCTTTGAGTTCAGTGAAGGTCAAAAAGGCAGTATCAAGAAAAAAAAGAAAGGAATTCATGTGAACTCATTATGAATAGTACTATTTTAACATAATTCATAATTGGTGGCAAAAATTTTGCATAATTCGTAATCACTCCCCCTCCCCCATGCAGGCCCTGCTTACTACCTTTCCTTGCTTGTTATTTGTAATAATATCTAATGTAACCTTGAAGACTTTAGGCAACTGGTGCCAAAGACTTAATCAATTGTAGCTGCTTGGTGAGACCTTTATATCCGGAGTGCCTGAGGCTATAGTCATCCTCTTTATCAAAACCACCTGAACTGTCTGGACTTAAACACATTCAAGGTGTCCAACAGTGGCTCACTAGGAGAGGGTGTGATAGGGGATTCTGAAACACATCTACAGTGGATATGAGCTGACAATAAAGTGTCATGCTAACCCCTTTCACGTCCCAAAGCTTGTGTCTCAGACTCAGAGGAGAGCAAAACAACAACTTGATTATACTATATATTTATAGATGTGCTAAAGGCATATGCTAACCTTAATTCAGTTAGGTTCAAGTGTACTATAATACACTTAAGTTTGGTCAGCATGAAAAAAAGCACTGTAAATATCTAAAAATTTAAGTACTGTATTTCTTAAATTGTATCAAGAGCTACAAAAGGTTTGTGCTGTAAGCTGATGTAGCACTGTTTGGTGTACTGGTAACCATATCAGAGTTTAAGTAGGTGTGGGAAATATGGGGCTTGTGTCCCTGAAACTTGGGTAGGTTTACAGGGGGTCTCCATGGGGTTTTCACCAGCTGTGTTTTGTTAAATTAAGACGTGTGCTAAGAAATCCCCTGCAAATTTCTTTAAATTTGAAAGGTAAAAGTGTTTTATGGTAAAAAAAGAAAGTAAAAAATCAATTCTATTACTTAAGTGGCAAATGTTTGTAAGAATAACACAGAATTTTCTTCAAATGAACTTAAAATTCCTCTTAATTCTTAGAGACATGCCAAAGAGGGAAACTGTCTACTTATATTAAAACCAAACTCAATACACTCACTCAAAGCTACTGTAGAAAGAGTGCGACTTTTGGTTGTTCTTCAATCACCATACAAAAGCTCCCCCTACCTGTGGAAGGCGTAGTTGCATCTACCCTCTTGGGTGTCCTGGGTAGTGTGCCGAGGGGGGTAGTGGTGTTGTCTGGACCCCCCTGCAGCATCAGGGGGGAGGTCACATCCAGGGGGGCCATCTGAAAGGAACAGGTGAATATAATTTAAGGTCTTGTAGATCTAAAGTTCTTCTGTAAATTTAATTCTTATGAGTTATTTTGTAGTAGAACAGAAAAGGTCTATCACATTTTTAAGTTCAGAGTTGAAAGGATTCTTCAGAGGAGACATGTCAAAAGATCAGACACAGGAGACAGGGAGAACTTCAAGTTGAAGGTTAACAACAAGTTAGCCTGGGTGCCAGACTGTAGCCAGGGCCAGTCTACAGGCTAGCTCCTGGGCTCCAGGGCTAGCCTGGGTGCCAGACTGTTACCAGGGCCAGTATAGGCTAGCTCCTCGGCTCCAGGGCTAGCCTGGGTGCCAGACTGTTGCCAGGGCCAGTACACAGGCTAGCTCCTCGGCTCCAGGGCTAGCCTGGGTGCCAGATTGTAACCAGGGCCAGTATACAGGCTAGATCCTCGGCTCCAGGGCTAGCGAGCTAGCCTGTATACTGGTATCCAGGCTACTCTGAAGTCTGAAATCTTGTATTGTTTCTTACCTGTTGTCTTGCACTGGTTGGTTCCTGTTCACCTCGATCTAACAACATATCTTCATCAGATAAGTATGGCGTAGTTTCTTCTTCTTCTCCTTCCCTCCCCACTGTGGTGCCTTCTAGCCCAGGCTGGGCCAGCGTAACCGGTTCTGGCTGGTCGTAACCGGTCCTAACCGGCTCTGGCTGCTTGTAACCGGTTGTAACCGCCCTGTGCCTGGTACTGAGTTCAGGGTAGTGGTGGTTTGATGGGGTGACTTGGTGGTCTTCTTCTTCTTGGTGAGAGTTGGTGGTCAGGGTTTGCCCTATGTTCTCTTCCATGTCTGTTTCTAGTGTTGCTGGATCTGTAGTTAGTAGAAATACTTTTTTTCAGTGCTGTGCAATATTGCAGAAGAGTCAAAATTTTGCTCTGTGATTTGCAAATACTTTCTCTGCAAATACCTTCTCAACCCAATAAAGCCTATTTTACATAATTACATGAATATAGCTTTGTAAATTTGTAACTGAAATTCTTTGAAGTTATATGTTGTAACAATCACAGATTCTGTGATTACTACAACATATTAAAATTGTTGGTCGTGTGTGATCAAAGGGCTACAGGGATGAGATATGCACTGCCCTAGCTGTTGGAAGAATTCTAACTTTTTCTGTATGTTATATGTGCAAATATATTTGTGTATATTCAACTAAAATTTAAGTTTATACATATATAGATGATTTGATTTCATTAGAAACTTGTACTTGAGTATTGGAATCCTCTCTGTAAATGAATACCGTGATTCTATAAGTCAATATACATCTAGCACAATACAAGCACATACATGTATACACAAACACTAGACAATACTACAGACAGTATTCTAGCAACACATACATTTTAACAGTAAACCATGCTCAAGTATATGCACAAGTCCAGTTCCCATGTGAAAGTTTGACATGTTATTGTTAGTCACAACAGTCAGCCATGCACAAGTATGAGTACAACTCCAGTTCCCATGCAAAAGTTTGGCATGTTAGTCACAACACCAAGCTGTACCCAAGACCAACTACAACACTAGCCTCCATATAGCATGCCAAAAACTGGGGGTTTTGGGGGTCTTCTGGGTCTTTGTGAGCTTTTATGTGCTATTTTCTGATTGCATATAGACAACATAGCCGGCCTGGTTTAATTACCCCCGTTTTTTAGAACTGGGCTAATCAGAAAACAGCCAAACCCCCAGTTCTATAAGCCTGCTATGGAGACTAAAGCTATCCCAAGACCAAAGTTCTATATTAACACCAAGAGTCAACAAAAAAGTTTGAGTGTTCCAAAGTCTTTCCCCCATGCAAAGAACCCGTCTCCGAACGCTTGGTAACCACCAGACACTGATCACGACACTGGGAATGTACAGTCACTGTTTCAACTTTCGTAGATGTGTTTGACTTTCTTTGAGGCCTAATTTTTTTTTACTTTAACATTTTGGATGTGAGGAGGGCTTTCTTTGCTGCAGTGCCTCCTACAGAAATTTCTTGGTACTGCAGACAAAAAGTGGCTTGTTGACATCTACACAAGTACTGTTTGTTGAAAGAAACTTTTGAATGTTTCTTTGCCTAAATTTCTTCATTCATGATAATAGAAAAGAGGCCTGGGCTTTCTACCAGAAAAAACAACTTTAGTTGGTGATATTTGATCGGAATATTGTGTGATTTTCAATAAGCTATGTACCAAAATCTAACTTTCTATAAATTTGATGCACCGACAGCTAGCCTCTACCAGGCTTCAGAGGTGGCTGGAAAGATGGCCAAATACACAGATAACATGCCAGGGGAGTTGGTCCGCTAAAGGAGTACAGTTTGCCACTCAGAGCCTGGTAGAGGTTAACTTTCAGAAAGCCACATCAAAGAAAGTTACAAAACAATCGTGACCGCACTCGTCTACGCCATTGTCTTACCTACACAGATGTTACCACGTAACGCGTCCCGAAGTAACCCCTCCTTACACTCGCACTTAAACGACACTTTTGGGCCGTTCAGCTGGAGTTTACACTCCTGGTCCCAGGGACACGTGTCGCGAGGGTATAGCGTACATTCTGTTTCATCATCTAAAACACGCACAGGTTTTAGTTAAAAGGTTTATCCAACATTGCACAGCAAAAGTTACTGCATAAGATGGATGCAAGGAGGTTTTAAACCTCCTAAATGGAGATCATGCTATGGAAAGTTTTCATTCACTTTCCATATCAATGAAGCAGGCAGTGACATCACATGAAAACACTTAGTCATTAGTACACAGACAGGATGACACAAACTCTGTTTCAAGAGTGATTCGCAATTTGCATGCATTGCTTTTCAAAATCACAAACATACATATACATTGTAAGGTATACACACAGTCACATACATGGAAGAATTCTCTTTTGATTGACATGCATATGCATAAATTTAGCTAGTGGCATGATCTCATGATCATCACATGACCATCACATAACCTTCAAATGATAGTTAGATGAACGAAGAATTATAACAAGGACACAAAGTTATCGCAGGACCATCACACGATCATCACATGATCATCACGTGACCCACCTTCAGATTCTGAGTCCCGGCTCCTCTCCACCACCACCATGTATGAGTGCTCAAACTTGTCAGAGTCTCGATACACAGCTTTACACGCCTCCTCACTCACACAGTCAATGGTGAAGCATGTCACCTGAGGTATCAACCAAGGATAAGTATTATTATTCTTATAATTCACATGAGTGTAATGTTGTTGTTTTTATATGATTGTGCAGTATGTGTAATGTTGTTATGTATTTTGGAATCCAGGCTGACTTAAGTTGCATTTGCTGTCGCTTTTGCAACTAATGAATATCCTAATCAAGTATCAAGTATTCAAAAACTCATTCCTTCCTAGAACTATCGCAGAGTACAACTCGCTGTCACCAAGTATAATAGTGGGGTCGTCTGGCATAGCAGCAGAGTACTCGACTCGGAAGCCAGGGATCCCGGGTTTGAGTCCTAAACTTGGAAAAGGCACTTTACACAACTTTCCTCACTTAACTCAAGTGAAAATGAGTACATGTATTATCCTGTTCCGTATTTGTCCTCTGTGTTGGTGACGGTATAAAATAAGTTGATATAGCTTGAGGGTGCCGTCACCATGTCCAGTCATGAAATGTTGGGATAATGAAAAAAAAAGGTATAGTAGGGGCATTACAGATACAGATACGGATACAGATACCTGGTACATCCACGCGACGTCACAGTTCTCGTCATCACAGCACATCTGTGCACACTCGTCCATGTCGGCCACGGCACCCACGTTGTTGAAGGTCCCAGCATCCACCCCTGCTGAGGGGGTCGACTGTTGGTACTCCATACCCTGTCTACAGACGGACTCATGGGCTGCTAGAACTGGGGAAAGACAAGAAAATCAAGCTCTAATATTATAATGTCTTTAGTTGTAGAAGACCATACAAAAGTCCCTGTAATTTTTGTTGTGTCAATAAAGAATCTGTAGAATCTGTATGATATAACTTGGCATAAATTTGTGAGCCTACACTACATGTATATCTCCTCCACTGAAAACTAGCCTCTACCAGGCTTCAGAGGCGGCTGGAAAGAGTAGAAACTGGTAGTTAGAGTAGAAAGTTCTTGTGGTCACAGCACATCTGTGCACACTCGTCCATGGACGACACAGCCCCCACGTTGTTGAAGGTCCCAGCATCCACCCCTGCTGAGGGGGTCGACTGTTGGTACTCCATCCCCTGTCTACACACGGACTCATGGGCTGCTAGAGCTGGGGTAGACAGAAAAAACATGAACACCAATAGTAAAGGCCCATCACCCTTCACTTAACTGCGATGGGGGCTGACATCGTCAACCAGATACCTTTGACCCAGTGTTGACGTCACACTTCAAAGAAGCCACGTGACAAGCCTCACTGGGTCAGTATTATTTCAAGATGCATTGTATTTATTCTAGTATTTTATGTTTGTTTGTTTTTACCCGACGAAATAAAGAATAAAGAAATAATAAAATTGGTGTGGCCACAGATAAAACTAAAAGGTATAAATTATACAGTATTGCACATCAGCTACATGTATGTCTTCTATAGCTAGAAGCTTAAAGTTATCTAACATTGACTTTTCATCATTTGGTAATGTCAACTGTCATAATTCCGCTTAACTTAAGCTTCTCCTTGCTAAAGAGGCTTTTTTTGCCACCAATAAAATTTACTGTTTGTATTCTTTACAGGGTAAGGGAGAAGGGTGAAGGTTGATCTATTCTCTACTCAGTATCCGTACACAAAGCTGTGAGTACATCATAAAATACCAAACAAACTTTGCCTAATAAAACAATAAACAAACTTTGCCACCTGTACTCAGGGCTTGAAATTCATTTTTGGGAATAGGTGCACTGGTGCACCCAACCTAAAAAATTAGGTAAACAAAAATCTTTTTGGGTGCAACACCATATAAAATGAAACCTAATTATTATATTAAAGACTTTACTTCTCTTTAGAGCTTGAATTTGAAATGGGAGGCTAACTTCAAAATTATCTTAAAGACATAACTGCTACAAAGATTTTATTATTTTTCTGACACTTAGATGCCAAGAATATCATGTACAAAAATACCTACAAAAATATTTAGGTGCACCAGTCCAGTGCACCCACAGAAAAAAAATAGGGAACACAGCCCCAAATTTGGGTGCACTAAGGTGCACATGCACCCAGTATTTCCAGCCCTGATTATAATATAAAACACCAAACAAACTCTGCCACCTGTACTCCTTCTGTGTGACCTATACATGAATCAGCTAATGCCTTTAAATTATAGGTTCTTAGACATTGTGTGTTCAACAAAGTAGAAGTCATTTACAACATTTCATCGCAAAAATTCATATAGAAGTATCACAGTTGCTAGGGCTGCATGTTGACAATGATGTTGATATTTAGAAAGCAAATATAACTAGAGTTCCCCGATCTCATACCTTCGCCAAATGATGTTAAACTTTATGACTGACAAATTATAGATTAGATTATTCCCCCCTGATTTAAGAAATAGGAACCTAATTTTCATGAATTAATCATTCTATCATAATCTCAACCAAAAGACAGTCTTATATATGTTAACAAACAATGCATTCTAGCATTTCCTAATAAATTATGCAAATGAGGTCCTGATTTGAATAAATTGTGTTTAATGATGTTCACGTCAACTAAACTTTCAAATACCACAAGTATGAAATTCCAGGCAGTTATCATTACATAATTATAAAATTTTCTCATTAATTATGCAAATTAAGTCATTATTAACATAATCAATATCTTCCTGTGTTTCTCTCATTGTCAATTACCAATGTCACAAGCTTCAATTGTCCTATCATGGAATGCAGCTGATTTATAGAATTTCCCCATAAATTATGCAAATTACATCCATATTTGCATAATTGTCACATAATTATATTAAACATCGCGTAAGCTACCCACATACCAAAAATCACGACGATCCGTCAATCGGTTCTTGAGTTATCCCCTTTTGAATATTTTCAAGAATATATCCCTGCAGTTCTAGAGCAAGCCGCTAGGGGGCCCAAACTCACGTCACTTCTTCCCCAGCACAAGAGCTACCTACCATCCAAATTTCATCACCATAGCATGTCTAGATCATGAGATATCAAAACCGGAAGTTCAGCTGCAGTACCATAACAAGCCGCTAGGGGGCCCAAAATCTAATCATTTTGAGGTCTCATCAAGACCTACCCACCTACCAAGTATCAAGACAATCCATCAAGGCCTTCTCAAGTTATCGTGTTTACAGACAGACAGACAGACACACACACACACACACACACACATACACGAACGCCCCTGAAAACATAACCTTCTTGGCGAAGGTAATAAAGGGTGATAAAGGTAATAAACTGCTACAAAATAACAAAGAAAATAATCAGTGTTTCCCACATTTTACTGTTGCCAAGTCATGCTATAATTACTGAAGAGCAAAGTACAGGTACAACTAAAACCTAACTGGTTCAATAAAATGCAGAAGACCAAGTTTTCAGACTCTTAACTCCACCTGGTAACCTAGACTCTAAACCACGGTTTCTTTTCTAAAAGGCAAATCTAAAGATATCTACCAAATACTAGCTAGGCCTAACAAAATAAATGTTGTGTTTCCTATTACAGTCCAGAAAAAATTAGGGTACGGTAGGTAGGGATTCTACTTTTTTTTTTTTTTTTTTTTTTTTTAGTCAAAGCCGGGACAATGAACGTATGATCTGTTTGTACTACACAGAAATTTGGGCAGTACAAAACAGATCGTAAAATTCTTCAACAAAAGAGTTTGTATATACAGGGATCTCCCCAGAAATTCAGAGCAGGGTGGAGGAGGGTGCGAAGGGGAGGTCTGGGAGGGGGTTCCTCCCCCCCTCCGCATTTTGTCTTTTCCAAACACAATGGAGGTCATTTCCTGCAACTTCAGTTCTACATTTTCTGTACAACTGCAGATGTATAAGGCAGTAGAAAGGTTCAAGATCTGTACTTAATTATCCTCATGTTCAAAAAAATTCTATTATCACCCTTAATTTTTAAAAAATTGGGCATAGGTTCCCCGGATGACCCCTAACCGGGGGCCAACGGTGCTTCCACAAGTTCAACAAGTGAAAAATACATGATACAAAATGTACATGTATTTACTACCTGGAACTTGGAGCAATCTATTCCAAAGAGACATTAATATATTAAAAACTAAACCAAATCCTATTTCTCAAACAAATCACATATTGACACAGCTGAACAAATAAAAATGTGATCATGTTTATAAACTCCACTCAAAAACAATTTTTGAGAGACACTCGGGCCACGGTACTAAGCGTGATAATCTCTAATATCTCATCTGATTCTCCCAATATGTAAAGGGTCTTTACAATGACAGCATCCAACCGCACATACATAGAAACAAAAATATTACACAATAAACCAATAAATTCGGAAAATTTCTCAGTAATGTTTGAAAATTAACCTTACTAAAATATATGTGAATTTTTATTTCAGTTGTAGCCGAAAAAAATATTTTTCATGCGTTTAAAGTATCGTTTTAGCACTGTAATATGTACTTATTACATGTATCTATACATTTGAATGCTATCTTGACCTTTGACCATTGTTATTGTGAAAACAGGTCGGCCATGTTGTCTTTCTCGCCGTCAATTTTCGAGCCGTTTTTTCGAGCAAATTTCAACCGTTTTAAACATTTTACGGCCTCAAAAACTCATATAACGAGGAAAACAAGTTGTAGTTGCTATTTTCATGCGTAACATTTCTTCTGGGGATGGATTATTTTTCCGTCGAGCTGCCGAAAACTTAGCGCCATGCCGCAACCATGTGGTCGGGCGCGGCCGGCCGGCGGGAGTTTTACTTTGTATCGGTGAGCTTTCGCGATGTAAACAAAGACAGTCGGAGTTGTTTACAGAAAATTTTGTTGTGAAACGCCAGCGGGGTGTCAGATTTTCTACCAATGACAACGTTTTCTTTGCGGCGTCATGGCGAGATCGACAATTCATCGTCAATTCACAGGATTGTGCCAACAATGGAATTTATGAATAGCGGCCCGACCCGTGCAAATTATTAGCGCTCGATCCACGCCGCCCGACCGAAGAAAATTGTAATGACGAGCACATTTATCGGGGATAAAACCCCCAATTTTGAAAATTTTGAAAACCGACCGCTAGCCGCTCGAAATTTTTAGTCGGCCCAAAAAAGGCTAGGGTCGGGGGGTTTTTCATAGGGTCGGTCGGGTAACCGGAAACACAACATTTTTTTTCCTAGGCCCTACCTATACACACCTCAGATATTCAGGTGTTCAACATATTCTTGAGAAAGCCTCAAAAACACTGTTTCCAATGTGGTAGTCTTATGGCATGGAATTATCAGAGTTGACTTGAAACACATGTAAGTATTGTTGGTGATGCATCGAAATATGAATATGGTAAAAACACAACATTTTTTTTAAAACTTACCTCTTGGTACAAGAAGACAGGATATAGCCAGGAGTAGAATTCCAAAATGGTGTCTCTGCCGCATGACTGTACACTGTTGACATCCACTGACCTCCATACTTGCAGTTTATCAGTTCTGCTGATATTTTTCAAAAATTACAACTTTAGGTTTCACTTAATATTGTAATCTCAATCACCAAAAGTCTGTGTTTTATTCGTAGAATTGAATAGAATCATTCAAGAAGTTCCGTTGGTTGATTCTCATCTTCTTGAAAGTGCCATATCCAACCTGAAATTTAAAAGAAAAACTGTGTAAGTTTTCTATTCAGTACACAAAATAAGAAATAAGTGTACAACTTAGCTTGGGTACCAAACCCATAGCACACTGGACACAAAGATATTTTGTGTCCAGTGTACAACTACAAGTTTGATTCTTAGTCCCCTACCACCTTTCTATGGTATCAGTACTTCATTTCCATAAACCAATGAACTTTGATTCTGTTATATACCATTTATATTAATTCATAATAACTTAGATTTTCATTTGTAATAATATTTGGCATTTTCACTATTTTACAATAGTAGCCCCAATGTGTTGTTGATCTCTCAAAGACCCACAGATGCACTAAATACACTACTGCACACACGAATGCATGGATGTTAGACCACACATAGCCATGCTTCAATCACCAATGTCAACAGTACCCGCATGTTTCCTCTGAAAGCTGTTTCCTGTTCCCAGAACACAGGAAATGTTACTACAAGTGTTTCTGGCAAGATAGTTTGTAGGGCATTCTCCACAAATCTGTTAGTGTTACTAGCAGTACAATGCATATGAAAATCGTGACTGACGCATTACAACTAACAATTGTATGGTTGTAATACAATTACAGAAACCATGCCCATAGCTAGGATTTGGAATGGGTGGGGGCGTTCTTCCTACAGTCCGACGGATCAATGAGCACTGTAGGCGAGTGCCAAATGCACGTCTTAGGTTCCTAGGGGGGCCGGAAAATTTTGAAAATTGAACTTTTGAAATGGTCCGGGGGGTGGTCTGGAAAATTTTGAAAAGTGAGCTTTTGAAATGGTCTGGGGGGTCCGGAAATTTTTTTAAAATTGAAATTGCATTTTCTGCATTTTTTGAGAGGATTTCAAACTAAGGAAAAATCATAGTACACACAAGTGACCAGTTTTCTAGGATTCCAGTCCCACTGGTGATACAAATCAGTCCATTTTTAAAGAAAAATGTTGGACTTTTAGATAAAAAGCGGACCTTTGAGCCTTGTGGGGGGCTCTTCCAACATGGAAACATTATTCATGATTTTGCAGTGTAGAGGTCACTGTAAAAACCATGGACATGAATTTTTAAACACCTCAGTAGGCAAATTTTGACCTTTATCAGAGTCAATGTGTCACTCTAACAGAAGGGTTCTACTGTTTTGCTCTGTTGAAAAAAAGATGGTCCAGGTAAGGAACTATTTACAACATAAACAGCTCTGAGAACTCTCCCATAACCAAAGCACTTCAAGAATGTGTCAACTTTCTATATCAGATTAGCATGGCTAGTTCTCTTCAATCTAACTGTAAGTGTAAGTTTCATAAACTGCATTTCAGGTATTATTTGTACATCATGTATTTCATGTTGTAAGAAGTACACTTCAAAGTGACATTTCTTGAGAAATCTAACTCAAAGTTTGTCAAACAGGAATTTGGGAAATTCTTTTAATTCTTTTACTGATTTTGGAAGAAAGAGGTAATGTCTTATAATGTTTTAGCTTACGTAATCTGGTCCTTTTAAAATTTGTTCAGCATCATTTATCCCAACCACTATAATCAACAAATGACCCATGTAATGTAGCCTTGGTTTCATGGTTGTTACATAACATATATACCGGTAAATGTAGTACATGCAGCAGCACAGTAAGGTCTTGGAAAAAAAATGTTGTGTTTCATATTTCAATACTGAAAAAATAGGGCCAGACTAGCTATATACTACATGTAGTGTTATTTTTTTTAGGCTTTGGTGATCTCCAGTGATCCAACTTATCTACTGAACTGTTTAACAAAGCTTGCATGGGGACACATGTCAATGTCGGAAAACTGATTGTACAACATTTTATCACTCAGGTGTCAGATCATGGAGCTAGAAAAGGTTGATCATCTCCAAAAAATGTATGTCCCTTGCAGGAGTACACCTACTCCAACCAACCCCAACCCCCACCCCAAAATAAAAAGACAGGTTCAGCTGTTTTTTCTAGGGTCAGTCAGGAAACAGGAAACACATTCAATATTATTTTTCCTAGACCTCAGCTAAAAAAATTGATGTCTTGGCAGTTTTTTCTAGGGTCGGTCAGGAAACAGGAAACACAACATTTTTTTCCTAGGCCTAATCTGTATCACAGGCAGCAGACAGAGGGTCACACACATACAGGGCTCAAAATTAAAGGTGGTACAATGGGCACTGAGCACCAAAATTTAGGCTGGGACATCTAAAAACTTTTTAAGACACTTTGGGACATTTTTTGAACAGAAAAATAATCAACATCAGAATGTCAGCCCTTGTTTTGTTTATCAGGCACACGTCCCGGCTTTTGGATCCGGAAAAGTCACACCGAATCTCCTGTCTACTCTGCAATTATAATGCACCAGGGAGTGGACGTAAGCAAAATAAAGTTGATTTGAAGCTAAAGTCATACTACACTTCCAAAAAAAAACAGGTTGGGACAGTTCATCCTCACTTCGGGACAATTGAAATGTATTTTTGGGACAGTGCTGGGACAATAGGAAGAAAAGTTAATTTCGAGGCCTGACTTGTACATTTGTACAAAGTTGTGTTTACAATGTCTAAGGGGAACTATGAAGTGTGACAGGAATTTCCTGAGTCGTGACTTGTGAGCTAAGTCACAGAAAATAAATACAAAGACAGGTGCAACTGCCTTATATGGAAATGCCTCAACCAGCAAGTTCAAGTATCAGTTAAAGACATTTACATTTTTTCTGTAGTTTTGCTGAGTTTTAAAGTTTTAGGGTTGATTAAAGTACCATATAGCTGGGACAGGGGCACATGTTAGCAGAACACACTAGCCTCCATATCATGCCAAAAACTGGAGGTTTTGGGGGTCTTCAGGGTGTTTGGGAGCTTTTATGTGCTATTTTCTAATTGCATATAGACAACATAGCCGGCCTGGTTGAATTACCCCCTTTTTTAGAACTGGGCTAATCAGAAAACAGCCGAAGACCACCAAACCCCCAGTTCTATAATCCTGCTACGGAGGCTAAGAACACAGTACCCCTGAATGAAACCTGTAATGTAATGTGCATATAGCACTTCTCCAAAATGTCTCATATACACATATCTAAGGATGACATCTCGTATAGTTTTCAAATGTTGTGTCAGAAAGGATATCATAGACTGTCTGATGCAACGTTGACCAAATATTCAACAAAAACCATGTTAAATCTGAAGTTCACAGTTGAAACAATTCTACAGTATAACATAAATACAGAACACCCATTCGTAGTGACACAGTTTTACAGAATCCACAAAAATAAAACAACCAAGAATATTATATGATCACAAATAAACAGCAAGCAAGTGCGACAGTGGATAAATTTAGCAAGGTGGTTTTAACCAAAACTTTACAGAAACTTCTAGTAGCAGGATCTCACAACATCACACTGATAATATATCCTGTACTAAATATATCTAATACAAACATCAAGAAACCCATGCTACAATCTTGGAGAAAATTATATGATCACAATAAATAGTAGCAAGTGTTAGTTACAGTGAATAAATTTGGCAAGATGGAAAAGCCAAACTTTGCAAAAATTTCTCGTAGCAGGATCTCACAACATCACACTGCACATATCCTGTACTAATATTAAATAAAAACATCAACAAAACCAAGCTACAATCTGGGAGAAAATTATATGATATCACAATAAACAGCAAGCGTTAGTTACAGTGGATAAATTTGGCAAGGTGGTTTTAAGCAAAACTTTGCTGAAACCCTTCGTAGCAGAATCTCACAACATCACTCTACATATCCTGTACTAAGTATATCTAATGCAAACATCAAGAAACCCAAGCTACAATCTTGGAGAAAATTATATGATCACAATAAACAGCAAGTGTTAGTTACAGTGGATAAATTTAGCAAGGTGGTTTTAAGCAAAATTTTGCAGAAACTCTTCGTAGCAGGATCTCAAAACATCACTCTACCCATATCCTGTACTAATATTAAATACAAACATCAACAAACTCAAGCTACGATCTGTTTTTCGTTAAAACAACATTCTGTGTTTGGGTTTTGGAAAGAACTATGGGGGAGGGGGGCGGTACCACCGACTACCAACCTCTTACGGCTCAAAAATCACACATACGTCACGAATAAACGCCTCTGCGCTATATCTACGTATGGAAATCATTCTTAGGCATTGTTGTGTAGATATTTATCATATTTTGGGTTATAGAAATGTTCGAATCTGATGAAAATGCGAGAAAAAGCGTCTGTAACTTACCCAGGTTGTCGGATATTTCGCTGCACTTGCTACAAACCACCGCTAGGGATTGTGGGAACGCTGGGAAAGTTTCGTCAGCGATGTAAGAACTGCTCTCATTGGTCGAACGAAAGTTTCCTAACTCCTGGCGTTACCTCGCCTGTCATTGGTACACGTCTGCAAACTTTTTGCAACTATTGCAGACGCTTCGAATTTAACTCATATAAACGCTGTATCTAAATTCTAGACATTGTTGTCTACACTTAGACCAAACACCCCCAAGCAAAATTGGGACAATAGAAGTGGTCAAACCAGTTTGTTATGTAATATGTGAGCAGAATAGTAATGAGAAAAATCTACTAAAATGAAGGTTAGACATCCAGGTAAACAATATTCGAAGGAAAATGAATTTCTTAGCTCATTTAGTGACGCTGAAGAAGAGTGGCGGATCTCAGTCAAAACGTCTGTAAGTTTGTTTGTTTGTTTGTTTGTTTCGCATAACCGGTAAACCGCCTTTTGGCGTAACACACCAGTTTTGTACATGTACGTTCAAGCTGCATAAGACCGGACTGTAAGGTTTGAACCACTCACACCGGGAAGATCCCCTACCCTTTTCGATAAGTGTGGTGGGTTCTTTAACGTGCATGGGGTGTAGCTCTCCCCAAACACGGGACCTCCATTTAACGTCCCATCCGAGGGACGTCCCTAACCGAAGCTAGGTTTCATTTACACCTGAGTGAAGTGAGGAAAGTCGTGTAAAGTGCCTTCCCCAAGGGCACAAGATCGGCAAATAATGTTATCTCCTTGTATCAGCTATGCGGAGCCTTTTCATGTTGAAGTTTCCTTGTTTTCTCTTGCAAAGGACCATGGAAGACCAAGTGTTTTGGAGGAGACTTTCTGGATTGGTTCGATCTGGAAAGAAAATCACAACAAATGAATTCTTGAAAGCGTACGTATGTGTCCAAATGCAGCTGATTTCTAGGGACATGACATGCACGCCCCCTATCAATTTAGAACCAAACTGCAATAACCGTGTATTGTCATTCTCCTGTCACCACAAATACTGGTCCGACAGGTGTATAGGGTTTCAAGAAAGGGGAAAACCTTTTGATATCTTAGGAGAAAGAAACAATTCATTAAAATATGCCATTCAATATATCTAATCATGAACTCCACTCAGTTATACAAAATTTTGACGTGAAATTTGCAATAAAACGGCGTATTGAAAATATTACGGTAACTTTTGTTGAAATGTGGTTCCACCTGGATATACGTGATTGCTAGTGGATCATCCCTTACTTTTATAGTTGTCTGCTTGTCACCTTTGTAGGTTTAGTGTTAGCCAAAGTTACAGCTCTGTAAAGAGCTATCTAGTTTTTACCTATGTAGTTCCGGTACAGATTTTACGCCTTGAAATGATTATAGAAGAGTTCGAGACATCAAATTTGTTTCTGAGACACCCCGACAGAAGTGTGTTCTATTCTTCAGCAGTAAGTATTGCAATACATACTGGGTTTCTTAACTGTAGTTGTCTTACATATACACGTAACCTAATGGGTGGGGTTGCGTGTGTACATGTACATTGTCCTAACCAAAGTTGATTAGGAATGCACATTATGTTGCCGAGTGTGATTTTCTTTTGCATGATTTGCGTACACACCTCCGGATTCGTACTACAAGACATATCGTGTCCCTAATTCTAGTTGTCTTACATGCACGTAACCTTAACTGGGTGTGACTGTGTGTAGCCTCCACCAGGCCTTTCTGTGGTAATACGGATCGTAGAATTGGGCCCAAAAGAGAGTAAAATTGGCAAGGGAAGGTAGTTTCTTTCCCTCCGAACTGTCAAAAACCTACAAGGCGGCCAAACTCCCTTGGCAAATATACTCCTATAGCCAGCGTAGTTGTAGAGACTAGACTGTTTGTGTCTGTGTGTGTATTGTCTCTTTCAATTTAACAAAAATTATTAGGAATACACCTTGGTTATACATTGCCGAGTATAATTTTCTGTTACATGTTTTGGGTACACAATTCTGGCTTGGTTGAGTGAGTATTGCAGTGCATACTGTGTCCCTTAACTGTAGTTGTCTTACATACACGTAACCTTAATAGGAGGACTGTGTGTGTGTGTACATATGTATTGTCACTTGTCTTAACCGAAATGACTAGGAATACAAGCTTATATAGATTGCCGAGTGTAATTTTCTGTTGCGTGTTTTGAGTACACAACTCTGAATAGGTTGAGACACACCCAAAATCTTACAAAGCACAGGTTTTATCTGATCTTTGTGTTTGCGGAAGTGAAGTTGTTGTTCTCTGCTACTCTCCAAGCAGAGGTTTGGGTTTTGGGTTATTTTTGGCGTGTTTGTAGGCTTTTTATCGGGGTTTCTTACCTTAAGTACCAAGTCGAAAGTTACTTCACATGCTCAAACACAGATTTCTACGAGTTTCTAAGTTGAAACACACCAAAAGCCGGACGTGTCCTAACGCCGAAATATTTCTATTTGGTCAATTTCTACTATTTTTCCAGCAGCTTGGGAGCCTGGGAGAGATTATAAATATGCTATTTAAGCCTAAGTATGATAGCTATAATCGTTGTGTGTTCTGTACTTGTGTGAAGGAGGCCGATAAGTGTGTGTGTGTGGGGTGGGGGGGTAAGTACCTTTTCTCTGATTTTATGTTTTACGTAATAAGTTATTTCTTTGCTTTATTACAACTGATTTTACTACAACTGATTTCAAGAAGCTAGCATAGACTATATATGTGACAGCGCTAGCTGTCTAGATATAGATAGATCTGGAAACGGACATACCAGACGGATTCATCATTAGATACCGTTTCTAAGAAGCCTCCTTGATAATTAAGGTGATTAAAGCCACAGAAAACCAGCATGCTAATTAGACTTAATTATAGTCCTCAAAAATCTGTCATAGGATGGACCAATCAGGAATAAACACGCTTACCCTGCACGTGTCCGCAGGCATTGGTCCAACTGACTATCAAATTCCCGACGGACGCTAGCCTGGCCCCTCCTCATCACATGCAACAAACTCATTAACACTTCAAACTCTACAATATTACTGGTTGAGTTAACTTAGTATCCTCTTCTTTGTGTTGGTATTAGTAGTCTTACTCGCCTGGTGGATTTTGATGTGTTTTAAATACATACTTACCAGCAGTGTAAGTCAGATGTCTTGAGGCAATATAGAGTGATGAATCATCAGAGCAGAGATCAGAGTGATTCCGGCGTAGTAGTCTGTTAATTAGTTCTTTAGTTCCGGGTCCCCCAACTGAGGTCAGACAAACTTTGCCAAACTGATTATTCTAACAGTTGTATAAATGTGACATTAATGTAAATTTGATGGAGAAGCTAAAAATAATTCGACAAATTAATGTGACTATAGAAAATGTGAAAATGCATTATTATTAAAAAAATGTCAAATTATGTTATGGACAACTCAAAATCTGTCTATCTATCTATCTGCAATTGGGAGAAAAGTGTACATTTTCGTTGAAACCAAGGAGTTTAAAAACAGAATACAGTGTTGTCTAAGAGATAGGGTGACATATTGTTTAAGAGATTGATCATTTTGTTTAAGACTTCATAAGTGATTATCATATTCTGTTTCAGAGATTGAACTTATTTTGTTGAAGAAATTAACCATAATTGTTCAAGAAATTAGCCATATCTTGTTTAAGATTTTAGTAGTGATTAACCACATTTTGTTTAAGAAATTGACCTTATTATGTGTCCTACATCTTTTTCAGTGGTCGCGAAGATGCCTGGTGCCATTCCTTGTCTACCGCATCACGGTTGCCGTGTTCACGCTCTTTATCTTCATCTACACACTCGGGGACTACATCGTGGTAGACTATAATTAACACAGCGAATTACTACTCTTTCCAGCCGCCTCCCGAAGCCTGGTAGAGGCTACGGGTTACTGACTACTGGACCATAAAGGACACACAGACGACACAGGCATACCGGCACACACCCTTTAGTCAATGACTAATCTTCCAGGGTTCAAAACTTATAAACATACGAACATACTGACAGCAGAATTAAAAGAGAATGAACATACATAATCATCACAAATTATATACAGGTTAAACAAAACGATCAATATATACAACTTAACAAGTTGTTTTTTTTTTGTATCTTCTGCAGTGGTCGCGAAGATGCCTGGTACCGTTCCTAGTCTACCGCATCACGATAGCCGTCTTCACCCTCTTCATCTTCATCTACACACTCGGGGACTACATAGTGGCGGACTACGGTGTAGCGTGGTTCTCCATATACGCCACCAACTGGACTTTCCTCATCCAGACGGTTTACTACAACATGGCAGCCATTGTAACGTCGCTTGCGTGTCCCGATGTAGGTAAGTAACTGCGAGGTGGTATCCAGGTGCTTTTTGGATGCGGCACGGGGAACTATTAAACTACAGTGGGGTCGTGAGGCGTAGCGAAAGAGTGCTCGACTCGGAACCAAGAGGTCCCGGGTTCGAGTCCTGACATGCCAGCGATCTTGTGCCCTTGGGAAAGGCACTTAACACGACTTTCCTCACTTCGCTCAGGTGAAAAAGAGCATTGTACTGTCACCTGTGTTGGTGGCGGCATTGATATAAGTTGGAAAACTTGAGTGTGCCGTATGACATGTTCTTGATGTTTAAAATAATAGAAAAAGCCTCTGATTAACATGATTAGATTCTCAGACTGGCAACAATAACTTCAATAACAGATGGTCTCTCACAGTTTCCTTTTCGCACCCTTACAGATAGCCGGTGTCACGAAAGAGGTAATAGCAGCACACTGGCACTAGGAGGAAAGCACAAGACTTCGTCTCGAAGATTACGTGAGAGTTTTTCACCTGGAGGAACCGGGAACTTTGAGGTAGAGTCTGATTCTGAAGACAGCAATGACGGCCTGTCGGTAGACGTATCAACAGCGCCACCTGACGATCTCTGTTGGTACCACAAGACGATGTGGGTGCTGTACAACACCATGGCTCCCATAGCTTTGCTGATCACCTTCCTACGAACTCTTGCCATGGGTTTTGGCACATCGTTCGAATGGACAAATCACCTCAACCCCCTGACAGACATCCTGCATCACTTCTGTAACGGCGGCATAGTTTTGGTGGACATTTTTGTGAGCGCCACTCCCACACGACTCCTACACTTCGCACACCCCCTGGCCTATAGTTTTATCTACAACATGTTCCTCATTATTTACTGGGTATCAGGAGGATGGGGCATCACAGGAGAACGTTGGGTTTACCCTGTGGTCGACTATTCGGACGAACATTGGCGCCCTTCTGTTATCTTCGTGTTGATTGGTTTGTTCGTGGTCGTGCCCGTTTTCCACCTGTTGGTGTTCGGACTGTACAAGTTAAGGTGCGCCCTCGTGCGGTGCGTACTCGGAACTGCAGCGGATGGAGCGGAAAGGACAAGACTGTTGTCCGAATGACAAGAAAAAAAAAACAAATATACACAGATGTTATGTTTGAAACAGGGTAACACTTACAAGTGAAAGGAAGGAACATTGCAGTGAAAAATCAACTTGACATGTGGAAATAACAATGATATTTAACTTGAAATGAAGCAAATATTACTAAGTATATCAGGGCCAACGTTATAGTTAAGTTGGGCAGCAAGTGCAAGGCCCAAAATGGGAATGATTTTATAATGTCTACTTAATATCCTTTAACTTGTGCTGTCTTCTCTCTAAAGTTTTGGCCTGATTCTGAATCCTATGGGCATTGAGGGGATAGTTAGAGTGAGATCAAAATCTGTTAAATTCACGAGTTTTAAATTTATTTGGCGTAAAGAAAGATCTGAGTTGTTTGGTTTGGTACTAACAGTGCGGATGGATATAGAATCGTTTGGATACTTGAAGAAAATAACCCCTTTTTTTCTTTGCATAGTTATCAACTAGAATGATAAGGTGATGTAGAATTTTTAAGATTGCATTTTTAATTTGTAAGGTGTGTTACTACTTGAGGCCTTAATTCATTGTAACGTACCAATGCCTCAACATATAGGAATTGTGTAATATGTCGTAATATGACATTTCAATGTAACGTTTATGCAGTGTTCATTTTTTTCTTAAATTTGCCGTAACATGACATTTCAACGTAACGTATACTCAGGGATTGATCATAGCTTATGTTATATCTATACTTCTCAAGTTTGCTGAAATATTCTAGCCTTTGTTTTTCGCATTTTCAATAATGTATCATATTATGTATACAAATCAATCTTAACCTCAAGTAATGTCTTGTAGTCTTTGAAATATAATAATGAATAAAGATATACAATGTAAATTTTTCTGTCATTGACAAAATATTGACATTTACATTAACTTCAACAATACTCATGCATTACCATAGCTGCTGAGTACAAAAAAATGTGCACAGGTAAGACAGCATATATGAGGACTATACTTGACAACGCATCGCTCCCCGAAAAAATTAATGCCCCCACCCCACAATTAACAACAAGCTGCTAGGGGTACCAAACCCACAACACTTATTACTGGCAGGAAAAGCTATCCGCCACTCAAAAATCAAGACCATTGTATGTCCAGGACAAAAAATACAAAAACCGGAAGTTCTGCTGCAGTACCAAGGTCGGCTACCAGGAGGCTCAAAATTCGCCCTTGACCCTTTCCTACCCAACACCTACCCACATACCAAATATCATTACAATCCATCCAAAGGTTCAAAAGTTGTGCTGGCTACAAATGTGCGGAAACACAGACACACAGACAGACATGCCAAAAACAATACCTCCATTTTTCATGGAGGTAATTATAGCAAACCCTTTACTAGCCAGCAACCAAACAGAGAGTGAAATAAACAGTTTTTATGACTGAATAGTTAAGTTCTTTATTGCCCAACCACTTGTTTAGACAGAGCTGATATTTCGATGACTGTGTCATCTTCATCAGAGCTACATGTAATATGACAGGTACAGGTTCACTGTAGTCTCCGCCAGACTTCTTTGTAGGCTGAATAATACTGTAGAACATGTGCGGGCAAACTCCCCTGACCAGCTACATTCTTTTTAGAACATGTGCAGGCAAATTCCCCTGGCCAGCTAAATTCTTTTTAGGCTGATTTCTACTTGCAAAGGAGTCTGGTGGAGACTAGGTTCACTGTGCACTAAAGCTTGGTGTTACTGCTACTAATGCGGTCCCAAGGGTCACTCTTTTCAAACAAGTGGTTGTGAATCAAGAACTTTGCTATTCTAGGCATGTTCGTTAATCTAAAGTCTGGTGCTGACTGTGTTAGCCTCATCAGTGTAGCCATAGTTAGTGAAGGCTGCAGGGGTTGGGTCATCTGTCTCTCCTTCTAGCGATTTCATCTCTTCTCCCTGTTCCTGTAGTAAAAAACAAGAACGAGAAATCAGAGATTTCAAACTTCCAAGAATTGTTGATATAGTTTTCGTTAATGAATTAGAAACATTTGAAAAGCAAATGCATATTTATCTTCACATGGTCTAGCCTAACATTCTCTCCTTATTTCTCAGGGCTCAAAATGCTGGGTGCATGTGCACCTTAGTGCAACCAAATTTGGAGCTGTGCTCCTAATTTTTTTCTGTGGGTGCAACAGTGCACCCAAATATTTTTTGTAGGTTTACGTATATGTCAAGATGTTAAATTTAGAGTAGTACTAGTATTCAGCATATTCTAACATCCAAGTGTCAGAAAAATAGTAAAATCATTCTTGTAGTACTTTTATTTAGAAACAAAACATAATTAGTTTTTGCTGACATTCTACTTATTTTATCTTATATGGTGCACCCACAGAAAGTTTTGTGCACCTAATTTTTTAGGTTGGGTGCACCAGTGCACCTATTCCCAAAAATGAATTTTGAGCCCTGCAATGGAAGCCCTATAAATGTTAGAAGACAATGCTCCTAGTCCTACACAACGTACCTTTGGTAGTTCTATATGACTGTTGATATAGCTGAGAGTAACGCCGTCGTCCCACAGACCACCGTTAGCTGGGCTGGGCTTCTTGGACCCCGCGCCGTACGCACCCCCTCTCTTAAAGCACAGCAGGATCATCAGCACTACTGGAAAATAAGTCAAGGTGGTCTAGTGGTTAGAGTTGCTGACTCAGAATCCAATGCATCTGGATTCGAATCCCTGATAGGCCCTGTGTGTGTAAGTAGCCACTTTGGGGAGCTGCCTGGTTACATGAGGGAACAGCACCCTTCTTCCCGTTTAGAAAAACCCCTGCTCCTACAGTACGCACCCCCTCTCTTAAAGCACAGCAGGATCATCAGCACTACTGGAAAATAAGTCAAGGTGGTCTAGTGGTTAGGGTTTCGGCCGCTCTTCACACTTACATTTCATCAACAAACCGATTCTAAATTACACAACTCTTAGTCCTTCCATCTATTCCTACAACATTGTAAATATTTAATATTATATATTTTGAATGACCTCTGGCCTCCTACCATACTGATTCATATTATTACTGTTTTGTATATAATGCATTAGCCTAGGTTATGCACCTTTTTTGTATATCATGCATTAGCCCAGGGTATGAGAAATTTCTGTGATTCGTTACTTTATTGTGTTATGTATGTATGTAATTCACAATGTGGGGCCCGACATCAGCTCAGCTGCCAGGGCTTCCACTGTATTGCACTGTATTGTTTGCAATTTAAATAAATAAATAAATAAATAGTGGTTAGGGTTGCTGACTCAGAATCCAAAGCGTCTGGATTCGAATCCCTGGTTAACTCCATTGTTGAGTCCTTGTGAAAGGCACATGCACTATACTAACTTGGTGAAAATGAATACCTAGCTTTGGTTTGGGAGTTTTCTCCCTTGGGAGAGGACATAAAACCAGTCCTCAAGCATGTTTAAGATGACAATGCACTTATCGAAAAGAGTAAGTATCCTTCCAGACTTCCAAGTTCCAAGTGTGAGTGGTTTAAACATTACAGTCTGGTTTCAGGACCACTACAGTAAGTCACATTAAATCCTTCCAAATTTGAAATATGGTACTAGTAAATCTTCATATTTATCTTCATAAATCTTCAGAAATTTATTGAAGCTGAAACAGGCTTGGAGGGACAGGAACTTATCTCTGTGATGTAGGACAAACAGTTTTGGCGAGCTAACTTTGTATGCTCCACCTCTACGGAGGATGACAGATGATGATGATGAAATCTTCATAAATACAAAATAAACATATACAAACTCACCACATATTGTAACGAAGACACAGCATGCTATGACGATCCCCACCAACACAGCCAGGGGCAGACCACCCGAGCCGGCAGGTGCCTGGACCCCTCCCCCCGTCCCGTTCACGCTGCTACTCATCACCATGGCAACACTGCTCGTAACCACGACAACCGAGGTGGGTCTCAACGCCACACTGCTTGTCGATGATGTAATGGCGGTTGTCGTGGCAACTGGTGGGGTTTGGGAGGGCGTTGTGATGAAAGTTACCTCGGATGACGAAAGTCTACTTGTAAAAGTTGGCACGAGTTCTGTACTGATTATTGGTACTGCAGTTGAGGAAAGAAGGAGTAGGGTTGGACTCGATCCAACCGAAGAAGTGAAAATTGGCGAAGAAACTGCAGCATACGTATTAAACGAGAGTATCGTACTCGACCTTGGAGGGATTGTGGAGGTCAGTGACGCGGTGGGTTCTATAGAATATCCACTTGAACTTGGCATCAGTCCCTTATCGGAGTCGTTAGAAAATCTGACCTCCGAGGAGGACAGTAGAGCATCCGAACTGGTCGGTGCGGTGGGAAAGAGACTCGAATTTGAGCTCTCAACAAGTCTTACAGAGCTTGGGAGTACTTCTGTGCTGAGAGGTGGGTTTACGCTTGCGCTTAATGGTGTAGGCACCACACTCGAAGTTGGGGACGGATACAGGGATGATTCTGAAGTTCTTAGAGCGCTCCGATCCGTAGAGATGATGGCTGGAGTTGGCTGTATGAGAGCTGAAGTCTGCTCCATAGAGGAGATTGTCATAGTCCCTGCTGTAGAGACTGCAAAGGTACTGCTTTCTAAAGTCCCTGCTTTTGGCATCACTACGGTTTGGTTTACTGTAGAAGAGGAGCTGTAGGGTAAGACTGAACTCTGGCTAGAGACAAAACTCTGGCTTGAGACAAAACTCTGGCTAGAGACCAAACTCTGGCTAGAGACCAAGCTCTGGTGAGAGACCAAACTTTGGTGAGGGACGGAACTTTGGTGGGAGATTGAACTGCGGTAAGAAACTGATTGCTCTGAATGCAAGATTGTTGTACTGCGTAAGGCAGATGCTGTCACTGATGCAGACATCTGCATAGTACTTGACGATTGTACTGTGTTACTCGAGATTGTCTTTAAGTTTAAGTTTAAGTCACTTGTGCTTGCTTCCTCAAGCATATTACCACTTGAGCTTGAGTATGCTAAGGAAGGTGAAGAAACAGTCCTTTCTGTGCTGTATGTGTGCATTGTAGCGGTGGGACTTGGCTGTAAGAGCTGTGATGAGGTGGCAGCATCTGGTTGGTCTGCTGAGGGAGACAGGGTCACCTGTGCACAACTCCATCTAGTGGTCAGCAGCAGTACTGCAGGAACAAACAATTTATGTGTCAGCTGAAAATTTTGTCAATACAAGTTAAATTTTTCTTCTCTACAACCAGAAAAATGCAGAATTTTCTTTGGTTATTTTTTTTTTTTGCTTCACAAAACTATAAATACCTAGACATGTTTGTGTGTTATATGGCAATCAAATGGCCATAGTGTATAATTGCTCTGTGTTACAGTGATGTGAAGAGGTCCAGTCAAACATTAACCACGATTTCCCGTATGTGGGGCAAAATGTGATCAACCACTTTGCAGGTCAAGGAGCAAACTACAGGTGCCAAAGGTACACTGGTTCTTACAGTTTGGTACGCAGCTAAAATTTTCGCTTGTAAACGTAAGGTAATCAGGATTCCTGAATAAGAGATTCCACAAATATGGCTGAAGGAACACCAAGGCAACCTCTCAGAGGTGCTCAGAACCAGCTGCCACGACCAGATGCTGAGATAGAGGCACAAGGAGAAATGCAGCCTGAACAGGCTGGGGACCATGGACAGGGAGGCCAACCAACACCCCAGGATGCTGGACAGGGGGGCCAACCAGCACCCCAGGCTGTTGGACAAGCCGACCAGGGCCCACAGCAGATGCAACAGAACCCTCAGCAGGCTGCTCCAGTACAGTTCCACCCAGAACAGCAAGGGTACGGGGCTCAAGCAGCCCGGTTTCCACACCAAGGCTTCCCCATGCCCCCCCAACCGGCTGGGCAGGTGTACCACAATGTCCCACCCGTAGGCCAAGCAGCTGCAAACGTTGGGCAGCCTCCGGCTCTGCAGATGTCATTTGGTGGCACAACCATCAGGATCCAGAGTCCAGCCGTTGCAGCAGGAGGCCTCGTGGCTGGAGCGGCTATTGGAGGGGTGGTTGCAGCCAGCAGGGTTTCAGAATCACCCGCAGTTGTACTGGGAACTGGACTGGCTGCAAGCCTGTCTACAGGAGTGACAACCCTTGCATCTTTCTACCTGAGCAACAGGCAACAGACAGAAGAAGCCATCCGCAGGGCGGTGGAGCGAGAACGGCACATCCAAGTAGATAACATCGGGGAAGGGTCGCTTCTGGTGCACGTCAAGTTTCTTACACTGGTAAGGCAATCACAATACCAGTATATTATACATGCTTAAATTTTTGTTCAGTCCTGTAAACAGTTATAATTATTGCAACATGTGCTACAAGGATATGATTTATTGTTGAGACAGCTTTTTAAACACAATTTGCAGGAGGTCAAAATGACACAAATGGACAGTCACACCCAAACAAAGCTTCTATCCATGGGGGTAAACTTGAATAAATGAAGTAGCATGAGAAAAATATTGTTGCAAATTAACAGAGAAATTGCATGATGAGACAGACAATAAAATATAATTCTAAAGCTAGATGATTGGTAATAAACATAAAGATATATATTTGCTACTTGCCTGCTCTTTTATGATTTAAAAAAAATTCTACTGGTGTATGTATACATGTAAAGTGATTTAATATAATAGTTTAGATTTTAGATTTGTACCTAGTACCGCTAATTGCCATACGATGTATCCGTACATTAGTTGTGCAATAAACTTTGACTTGACTTGACTATGTTATCTTGAATCTTAACATGAATGCCATGTCAAATGTTTGAATGCTGTTATATAGTTTTTTCATTGGTATGCTTCAATTCTCTCCCCAGGCCGGCTACTGGGTCCTACGCAGTTTGAATGAGAGAATCCACCAGGGCACAGACCGCACCTGTCTGCAATTGCTACTAGAGGATGAGCTGTGCAGGATTGGCTGGACCGGACCGATCCAAGTGGGGCTGGAGGGGTGGTGGTTTGCTGATGAGGAGGGACAGGAAGAGGAACAGGTAGAGGAGGAGGCAGGGACAGAGCAGGAAGAGAGATGGGAGTGGGCAGGGATAGAGAAGCAGGTATGAATAATTCATGTAGCCAATTTGGGATGATGGCTATCATAGATTCTGAAATGGTTTTAGGAGTTTTGTTAATAATATTAAAGGCATATCTGACACATGTTTTCTAAGTGACAACTACTTATTCCAAAAATGCTTTTTGTGATACTGTTGTTGCAATACATTAGTGCAGTCTACTAGACAAGTGTAAATCTTAACTTGTATCTTTCTTATTCTCGAGTTTATTTGTGAGAAAAGTATCTGTGAAAGAAATTTGAATGTGTAAATTAACTTTTGTTAATTGCCTTAACTAGCTAGCGAACAATATCCCGATAACTTTGAGTTCTGATTCAAATAATATTTTTTTTTCTTTCCTTTTCCAGTTTGTCTCACCCAGTGTGACTACAGAAGGAGACTCAGCTATAGGCCTGTCTGAAGACGTGTCCTCTGTAGCAGCCATGTCCATCACTTCAGCTGGAGAGGTGGAAGAGGGGCTGCTCAAGTGGGCGAGAGCCATGCTACAGAAGCACAAGTACTCACCAACAGCACAATGTTACGTCCAATCCTTCAGGTCCTGGGAGGAAGGAGCAGAAATCCTGAGCAGCAGTGGGTACACAGACCTGGGGGGAGTCAAGGCCTTGGTACAGGGATTCATGCTGCTTGACACGGCCACACCAGATTTCACAAGTACAATACTGTATGGACAGTCATGGCTGAACCTGAACAAAGCCCGACTGAAGCAGCTGATGACCTCCCAGCTACAAGCTGACCCCACTGACAGCACCTGTCTGCTGCTGACAGCCCTACAGCTGCCATATGGAGACAGCCGGGTGCAGACCCTGCAGCAGGTGGTTGCTGCCATCCTACAGCACGGACCAGGAGACTGGCTGTACCCACACCTGCACCACATCTACTGCTACCTGGGGTGGGCCATATGGGAGGCAAGCCGTCAGCCAAAACCAACAATGATATCAAAAATTTTCAAGGGGAGTAACCTACCAACAGTTGATCTGGCTGCTCTGGCCAAAGCCCTGTCTACCCTGGATAGTTCCCTTATGTACAAACAGGACCATTTGGAAACTGTGTACTGCACAGCCATGCTGTCTAAGGAAGTGTCTGAGACAGAAGCAATCAGACAGTTTGAACACTTCCTCAGGCTGGCACCAGAGTGTGATTACAATGTGCGTTATGCTCACTACTACCTGGCCACCCTGTACAACCAGCAGCAGGACAGACAGAAGGTGATTCACCACTTCACCAGGGGGCAGCAGACAGAGGCCAACAGGCTAACTGGGTTTGCTGAAGTCGCCAAATTCATCAAAGACCCTGCTAAAAAGGCATATGAAGAAGTCATGGCAAAGAAACAAGCAAACAAGTGAAACCTTGTTCTATAAAAGAAATAGGTACATGTATAAGTCTATGACATAGCATCTAAGTGCACTGTGTTGAAAAATTGTCTTTAAAACTATTACTAGTATCCTCTACTTATAATTCTATTTTAAGCTACATTCCATAATTAAATGTTGTGTTTAACAGTAAACAAGTGCAATGTACATGTATATTGAACATACCCCTATGACTTGTGAGTTTTCAGTACAATTGTTGTATTTCATGATTTATTTCAGGAAGTCTATAAACAGTTTCATTTTATGTCAGTAGTTTGCTTTTAAATTAAGTTCAATAAATAGTAATGATTTGGCATTCAGCTCAAGTACATGATATTGATTTTATCATCATAAAACACATTTCTTGGTACAGTGTGATAAACATGCCATATTGTATATTTTATTCATTAATCAGTATAAAATATCTGTATCAATGGAGTAGTAATGTGACTATTTCCAGGATTTAAGTGTTGCCTATACATGTACACCTTTTGACTTTTCTGAAATGTATATACAATGTGGGTTACGAATATCAAACTGTAGATATTTTCATGCAGGTGTGGGCATAATGTGTTGTAATGTAAAATCTGCTTTCTGAGGTATTTCAACTTTGTGGTGGAAACATTATGCAGTGCAAATGTATACAATGTTAGTGACAATGGTTTTGCTGTAATTGTAAGAGCCTGTCAGCACAAAAATAAAACCATCACAAGAAATTTAAGATTAACAGTACTCAATGTCCCCTACTAGTACTCAGCTGCCCAGGAAATATTGCAGAGTTCAACACCATGGCCCCAGAAAATTGTCCAGTTATTCCCCAAATGTTATCAGTTTAAATCCCCAATACATAAGTTGGAGATACTCTGTAAGGTAGCATAGTTGTCCTCTCTTCTTTTCGGAAGAAAAAATGAGGTAGATAGCGACATTAGGGATCGGAGTGGGTGGAAACTACAGAGGATGGCACCGAGGCTAGTTCCAACAAGATCTTTTGTCTCAAAAAATATTTACATGTTCTGTTATCAGTTCAAATGGAACACTTTCTACTTTTTTTACCGTAACATTCGATAACAATCCATACAATCAAACTTACATGGCCATTTAGTACTTTTAGTACACTACCGAACACAAAAAATAATGAGATTAGCGACGGGGCAAAAAAGAACAACAGACCTACTAGGCATTCTGTGATAGCCCAAAATGCTATGATAGGAGCCCTAAAGACAACATGCCAGGCTGGTTTATGATTCAAACAATGAATTTCAAACTTTTAAGCAAACCACTACATTGACAGTTGGAAAAACTAAAACAACAAGAGAATTGAAGGGAGCTCTTCCAACTGTTTTAGCTCAAATACATGTATGATCTGAGCATTTTGGAGTTAATTCAGAGGCTGAAACGTTTTGTTTTTTTCCTTAAATCAGAAAAAAATGAATCCGTGAACCAACAAATTAAATTGGTGTGGCCTTAGATAACATTTCATACTTACAGCATGTGGGTTGTTGGTAATTTTCTAGTGCTGAATCCTTCATCAAATTTACGTACACAGTCATGACAACATACTACTAGTATAAAGCCAACTTAGGCAGGCCCTAAGTTGGCTTTGAAAACATTTAACTTAGATATAAGTTAGAACTTTAGTTACTATTTTTAGATCACATTTCATACTTGCAGCATGTCGGCTATTAGTTATGGGGGTAGGTCTCTAATACTGGACCCTTCATTTTAATTTACATAGACAGTTGTGGCAATATCATGGGCAGGCCCTGAGTTAGCTTTGAAAACATTTCCCTTGTGTAATGAAGTATGATCCTCATAATTGTTGTCTACCGGCCTGAGGCTGGGCATTTCAGTCTGTGTCGGTGTAATTGAAGTACACAGGGCAGGACAGGTAAGTCACTGTTTTGTACACTTTGACGTAATCTTTTTTTGGAAAAATATCAACAAAAGCTCTAAAAAAAACAGTATCATCACACTAACAACTAATATGATACAAGTTATCATATTCATTGTGTATTGAAGACTTGTATTTAAGGTTGGAAGGGCATGAAAACTAAAGGTCAAAGGGTGCTTCCTGCTAATCTTGTGACGGCAGTTGAGTTAATTGCACTGTTGAGTCAGACCAAGAAACAGGGTTGGTTTTCACTTGATAATCTTGTCTAGTTGCTCATCCACAGAATGGCTGATAAAGGATCAAGTCCTCTGGGTGCTGAGGAAGGTGGAGAGGCACAAAAACGGGCAGAAATGGGAGGTAAAGGAGAAGAAACACGCCCTAAACAGGTGGGGCAACAGTCAGTAGAGGGGGAGGGGGGCCAGGGGTCAGCTGAGGGAAGTGCAAGTGTGCAGGAACCAGCTGCAGACTTTGCATTCGGCATTCGTCAACCAGAACAAAGCCCCTCGTTTCTACAACCAGGAGCTGTGGCAATTCATCCACAAACTGGTCGCATGCAAGTCTTCCAAGGCCAAGAAGGACCAGCTACAGGGCAACAACAACAAGACGTCCTCACAACTACCCAACAAACCAGCCAACCAGCTGCTTTACAAGCTACAGTACTGGAAAGGAAGAAGGAGGGAGGGTTTGGTGGAGCAAGTATCCGGATCCAGGACACAGGTCTGGCTGCTGCAGCAATCGTTGGAGGGGTGACAGTTGGAGCGTCTCACGTTGCCAGCCAAGTCACCCAGTCACCAGTGATCGTTTTGGGTACAGGGATAGCAGCAGGGGCCATGAGCCTGGCAGCTTTTTGGCTGGCAAACAGGATGAAGGCAGACAAAGCCATCTGCAAGGCTGTGGAGAAAGATGGCCACATAGAAGTGGAGAAGATTGAGGGAGGATCTCTCCTTGTTCACGTCAAGTTTCTTTCTCAGGTAAGATGCGCATACTGACATACGTTACTAATAATAATATTGGAAGTAAATCTGGCTATTAAAATCAACAACCTTGTTAGCAATTAACATGATGATAGCCTTGCAAAATTAAAACATTTTGCCTCAATGAAAACCCTAATGTTAAAACAGGACATTTCCTTCAAAATAAACAAAGGAGAAGCAATATTAATCTGTATCTGTATCAGTATAGCCAGTATAACCGCCCTTCGGCATAACACACCAGATTCTGTATCTCTATAGCCTGTATAACTGCCCTTCGTCGTAACATACCAGCTTCTGTATCTGTATATCCTGTATAACCGCCCTTCGGCGTAACACAACAGCTTCTGCATCTGTCTAGCCAGTATATCCGCCCTTCGGCGTAACACACCAGCTTCTGTATCTGTATAGCTGGTATAACTGCCCTTCGGCATAACACACCAGCTTCTGTATCTGTATAGCCGGTATAACCGCCCTTCGGCGTAACACACCAGCTAATTGTGTTCTCAATGCTTCCCCAGACTGGCTACTGGGTCCTTCGTGCCCTGAATGAGAAGATCCACCAGGGGACAGACCGCACCTGTCTGCAGCTGCTACTAGAGGATGAGCTAAGGAAGATCGGTTGGACCGGACCCATCCAAGTGGGGCTGGAGGGGTGGTGGTTTGCTGATGAGGAGGGACAGGAAGAGGAGGAGGCAGAAGAGGAGGCAGGGACAGAGCAGGAAGAGAGATGGGAGTGGGCTGGGATGGTGGAGAAACAGGTGTGATGAACAACAGTCATGCATATGATTTTTGACTAAATGGCTATCATACGATTGGTTTTAGGAGGTTTGTTGATATTACATTTACAGACATATCTGCAACACGTTTTCTAAGTGACAACTACTTATTCCAAAAATAATGTTTTGGGATAATGTTGCAATACATTAGTGCAGTCTACTAGTGTAAATCTTAACTTGTATCTTTCTTATTCTTGAGTTTATTTGTTACAAAACTATCTGTGAAAGAAATTTGAATGTGTAAAGAAACTTTTGTTAATTGCCTTAACTTAAACTAGCAAATAAAAGTTCTGATTCAAATAATATTTTTTTCTTTCCCTTTCCAGTCTGTCCCACCCAGTGTGACTACAGAAGACTCAGGCCTGCCTGAAGACGTGTCCTCTGTAGCTACCATGTCCATCACTTCAGCTGGAGAGGTGGAAGAGGGGCCGCTCAAGTGGCTGAGAGCCAGGCTACAGAAACACAAGGACTCACCAACAGCACGACGTCGCATAAAGGCCTACAGGTCCTGGGAGGAAGGAGCAGAACTTCTGACCAGCAGTGGGTACACAGACCTGGGGGGAGTCAAGGCCTTGGTGCAGGGATTCATGCTGCGCGATATGACCCCACCAGATTACACAAGTACAGTACTGTATGAACAGTCATACCTGAACCTGAACAAAGCCCAGCTGAAGCAGCTGATGACCTCCCAGCTACAAGCTGACCCCACTGACAGCACCTGTCTGCTGCTGACAGCCCTACAGCTGCCATTTGGAGACAGCCGGGTGCAGACCCTGCAGCAGGTGGTTGATGCCATCCTACAGCACGGACCAGGAGACTGGCTGTACCAACACCTGCACCACATCTACTGCTACCTGGGTGTGGCCATATGGAGGGCAAGCCCTCAGCCAAAACCAACAATGATATCAAAACTTTTCAAGGGGAGTAACCTACCAACAGTTGATCTGGCTGCTCTGGCCAAAGCACTGTCTACCCTGGATAGTTCCCTTATGTACAAACAGGACCATTTGGAGACTGTGTACTGCACAGCCGTACTGTCTAAGGAAGTGTCTGAGACAGAAGCCATCAGACAGTTTGAACACTTCCTCAGGCTGGCACCAGAGTGTGATTACATTGTGCCTGATGCTCACTACCACCTGGCCACCCTGTACCACCAGCAGCAGGACAGACAGAAGGTGATTCACCACTTCACCAGGGGGCAGCAGGCAGAGGCCAACAGGCTACCTGTGTTTGCTGAAGTCCCCAGATCCATCAAAGACCCTGCTACAATGGCATATGAACAAGTCATGGCAAAGAAACAAGCAAAGAAGTAAGGCCTTGCTCTTTGGAAGAAATAGGTATACACATAAGTCTAAGAAACAAAGTGCACTTAACAGTGTAAAAATTGCCTTTAAAAACATTTTTGATGAACCTAGCTATGTACTTAAATGCTGTCTTTAAAATATACAACGCCATGTAATGTGGTTTCAGTTTATGTACTAGTATTATAGTAATACATATAACTGTTTGATTCGCATTGGACATGCTGTGAATATGCTGCTATGTTCAGTCCTGTGGTTAGCACTAGCACCAGGGTGTAACAAATTGTTGGCATTGACCCAAAACATTACACAAAGCACTTTCTATCTGTCTGTCTGCAGGGAAGGGCTTCATACATGACCTCACACCATGTGGGTCTTTTATCAACCACCAATGCATATAGAATAGAGCCATAGACAGCATTTTAGGGGTTGTGATTGTGAACTGAACTTAATACTGTCCCCGCTGAAAAATACCTTATGCCGGAGTTATGGAAACAAATCTGTACTAGTTGGGGCCAGCAAGGCCTTTTCCGTAGAGCGTAATCAGCCGTTTTAATTCTACGTAGAGCGTAGACGGACTGCTCTAATATTTTTGCGTAGAGCGTAATCGCCGTTTTAATTCTACGTAGTGCGTTGTAGTCACTTGGAATATACCGTAAAGCGTAATCGAGAGGTTTCTGAATTCAGCGTAGAGCGTTGGTGGGACCCCCCTTGCAGGCCCTCCTAGATGCAGGGTTAGGCAGCAGGGAGAAGGTTAAATGGCATAGATTTTACCTTGTTGTAGCATTTAAATTCTTGAAACTTGAAACTTTGAAACTTTATTTTCAATACAAACATAGCAGACAAAAGTCTGAATTGCGTTAGTATTTACACACCATTGAGCTCGTTTTATATTATAATACACAAACTGTACGTGGGTATTTACAGTTTTAAAAGTAATTATATAAATTCTTAATTTCTATATAAAACGGCATCTCTTAAAGATTAAAAGATTAATTACCTACTAAAAACTCATAGTTTAATTCTGTGTGGTCTGTGAGTTTGTAAACACAATTTTAATTGTTATGTGAATGATTTTCTATTTGTTATAGGATTAAGCAGCAGAGAGAAGGTTAGATAAAGAAATGACAGAGTAACAATCTTGGAAAGGAAGTAGTTATACACTTTGAATTGTTGAAATCTCAGTGTGGAAGTAGTGGGTCTATGTCTGTTATGGGTAAACCTGTCTGAATGTTTTGTTTTGAATGGATTGCAAAATAAAGTGCTTTTAATTTCATTTTCAGCAGTCATTTTTTTGTAATCCCTGGAAAACAGAACACATTTCAGAAACTGATGAAGTAGTTGTGAGCTAAAACAAATCAATACAGAGAGCATTCATTACATTTCTACTTACCAGAAATCACAAAAAATATCATTATATATATCCATATATATATTATATCCATAATATACCAACATGACTAAGTACTGATTCTCCTTTTATGTTTGTTACTTAATTGTATAATATAACACCTGACTGAGAAATCAGGAAGTGTTCAGGCCATTTGATATTTGCACAATTCTGTGTATATATAGCAAACAACAGAAGTGGTGACTCAGTATAGAACCCACAGCCTGTGTGTGTGTGTCAAGGGCAAGTTTGGACTGACCTGTTGCTATGGCAACCACATGACATTGACACATGACCCCCATGTGTCTGGCCAGGTGTGGTACGCCCTGTGGTCTCCATATGGCACCCATCTCTGGATCTGTATGGGGGTAAAAATAAAATACAATGTCACAATACAATTGTGCATGTACAAGACTATATCAACAAAAACGATTTATCTTTAACCATACACATACATGTACATGCGCATGCATGTATAAGGGTAGCGTAGCCTCCATAGCATGCCAAAAACTGGGGGTTTTGGGGTCTTCAGGATCTTTGGGAGCTTTCATGTGCTATTTTCTGATTGCATATAGACAACATAGCCGGCCTGGTTGAATTACCCCCGTTTTAGAACTGGGCTAATCAGAAAACAGCTGAAAACCACCAAACTCCCAGTTCTATAAGCCTGCTATGGAGGCTACTAGGCTAGTATATAGGACTGTTCAACTATAGCCGAAACTGTAGGGCATATACAAATACACAATATACACATACTCTGACAGTATACATAATACACAAACTGAGATTATACAAGTGTAAATATAGAATATGTCATACCTGGGCCACTATGTAAAATGCCATGAGCATCTCAGGGCCTAATATATTATACAGTACATATACAGCAAATAAAGAAGGCCTTATAGATTGTACAAGCAGATCCTAGGGTGATAAAAGACAGTTTCAAATTGGTTAGGCATATCCACTGGCCAGAGACAGAGAGAGGGTCCAAAATGCTGCCTTGGCCAATTTGATACTGTCTTTTGCCACCCTAGGATCTGCTTGAAGATTAAATGAACGGTAAAAACACACACTTGTAAGCTTAAAATGCCTAATCTCCAAGCAGAG